AGACATGAAAAACGCAATTTGAATTTTGTCAATCGGCCCAGTAGAACGGGAGATATAGCACTGTCCCATTTTTTTTTTTTTTTTTTTTGAGCAGTGTACATCTGAAATGGATCCCTTTCCACGCTGCCTTCAATGGTAATGAAATGGCTGATGCCTTAGCTAAGGAAAGTACTTCAATGCAATTACTCAGGAAACTCTTTACACACACTTTATTTTCAGTCACTGGCCAACATATACTTCTAGTTAGAAAAATGTTTCAATTGACAGAAATATTATGTCTTGTAACTTTTAATTAAGAGAAAAAAAGGAAATTAAAAAATCAGAAAATTTTTCTATATGTTCTTTTAGCCCTCATGCAGGCAAAATTTATTCTCATTATAAAAAATAAAACACTCAGCATTTGACTTCTGTATGACAAAAATGACTAAAGTATTTTAATTAAATGCTGGAAATCATATTCAGGAGGTATATATAAATTGAAGAGCAAAATATAACCAAAAATAAAATATCAGCTTGAAAAATATTTTTGATGTTAAGAGATTAAATGGTGAGCATTTCAAGGTGGATTGTTGTGAACAGTATTAATCAATCCAATTTTTTTCCCCCCAAAAAGGAGATTTATTCATAGAACCTTAGCGAATGTGCCCTAGAAAACACTGGCAAATTTTAGTTTTGGCACACAGTCAGCATTTAAAATATTTCTAGCTTAAATAACTTTTTGCATTGTATTGATTCTTAAGTAAGCTTCATGAGGATACTAATAACATTTTTAGCATTTGAAAATTTATAAATTGTGAGAAAATTCTTTCAGTATACCAACTACAACAAAATTATAAATTAAAGAATGTTATACATAGACAATCATAGAAAAAATACTGCTGATTGGCAGCTTAGAGTTAAAAATGAACTCTAAATTATTTTCATTTATTTATTAACCAACCTCCAAAATTAAGTTGAAAATGATATCAGATTTCCGAAATTGTGAAATTAAATGTCTTGGTAAAGTTTTGTCATGTAGGATTCAATTTTTTTTTTTGTTATAACAAATATAAAATTTTTCTAATATTAGTGCAGGGGCTGGAAGACCATGTAAAAATTTAGATTTCATATTTCTGGTAAAATTGATTTCAAGTTTCAAAATATCAAAGCAAGACTATCTGCATCATTTAAAACACTTTTGTAAATAGAAAGTATATGCCTACGACAATGATTACAAAAGTAAATGTCAGGGAAGGATTTTAGTGGATACTGTGGATAACTGCTACCAAGGGGTACATAATGGACCTAGGGAATTTGAACATTATGATATATTTCATTATTTTTAAGTAACACAGAGGGACATTTGGGGGAATCAGAAAGAGGAATTTGATTATTTTATATAAGTGTCTCATTAACTTTATTATATTCTTCTATTTGCACAAGAGCCCAGGATGTGCCATGACCTCTCATAGAAACCTTTTTTACTCTGCTTTCCTTTTGGCCAGAGTTTGTCAGTTGGAAATTTTAATAATATTCATAAATCATCACTGACACGGTCTAACCATCAACGCATAAGCCTTCCTCTGATTTACTTTTCTATAGATTTAGGAAGACAAATTTTACATGCTTAAGAAAATTTATTTGGCAAATGTGCAACAAATTTCATGCAGTTAATTTTAATATATTTGGCAATATCATTTTCTTTATACAATTTGTTGTTATATCTATGACATCACAAGCCACCAATGTTTACAGCATTAAAAGTGTTTAGGATTTTCCTTTCAAACACCGTTAGATGGTTTCCTCGCATCTTAGCTAAAATCCAGGTTTCAAAAGTCAAATATACGTATAGGTCTTATTACAGCCTTGCACAAAATTAATGTATTTTCTTTTTTAAGTAATTTTTGATTGTAAAAATTTTCTGACAGAGACTGGTAACAATAATACATCTCTTAATTTCTGCATCACTATAGTTTTAAGAATTTAGATCTAAGCAAAGATAAACAAAAATTTTTCACCAATTCAAATTTATGATTTTCCCTATTTCAAGGTAACTGAGGCTTAAATCTTCATTATTTTCAGATAAAATATTAACTATATTTTATATATTTTAAAACAAAATTAATAATTTCTCTGAATAAGTAATTACATATTAAAAAAAATTTGCAAAATTTAGGCCCACCAGTAACCAAGTAGAGTATGCAAGAAGCAGTATGAGACAATTTCCTTCAGAAAATTCTTCATAAAGGCATATTTTCCCACAGGTAGACAGTTCTTGAATAATTTCCCACAATAGATAAATAACTTGCAAAAAATGTGATTTTAATTTTAAATCAACCATACTGTCTGGGCAAAAATTTAGTAAAAGTTAAATTTTCCAGTGAACCAAGAAGTAATTTTTTTTGAACCCTCAAAATTACTTAGTGAAATAATAACTCAAGATTTGACAAAACTAATAAAAGACGCATAATAAACAAATTACTTCTTTGAAGTTTATAAACTGAAAAAAGCTGAAGCTATTAAAACATGCAGTTTGGGAAAGTGTATCTCATCATGTTACAAATCACGAATTTTACGCAAACTGGAAAACTGCTTTTCTATTACTTTTAACATTCTAAGACATAATCTAAAACATAACCATTTAAAATTCACTCAAACAGAGCAAAATAAAAATATTGCTCATTTGAACAGAAAATACTGAAAAATCTGAATATCAGATGTAAATGTTGTGTTTCCTGATGGGTAGGGAAGGAGCAACTTTCAAACTTAATCACCTACCATCATTCCTTTAATCATATTCTTTAAATTTTTAACATAGTTCTAATTTTGTATAAATTGTTAGATTTCATTAATTTTAAATTAAAATATCAAGCCATTAAACTGGTAAAAATACTGAGTTTCTTTAATAACAGATCTGAATGAAAGTAAAAAGATATGTTACAATAAATCTGAAATACAATTAAAATGCATTCTTGCCAACCATTTTTAAAGCTTAAATACATGTTTCTTCAAAATTTCCGAATAGAAAACTCTAATATGCTTATAAATATGATAAAAAATGTGTTTAAGAGGATATATAAATTTTTAGGGGTTTTAAAAACTCTTTTATTACGGAGCTTACATTTTAGACAGTTACTTTTAAAGCAGCACTGATGCAATTTTTGCAAAACTTAGAATTTGGCATTAATTCAAACACGGAAAAAGATGGCATGTGATATCTGAAAATGTCTGATTTTGTGCCAGATTCATATGTTAGAATAACAGCATATATAAATCTAATACATATTTTAAGTTAGGTTTTGAGATATGAAAAAATGCATGAAGAAATTTTTATTAGCTCAGCCAAACAGATTACAGAAGTCTCTCTTGATCCTTTTTCGAGTGCTCAGTTTTGCATACTTTTGATCATTTACATGAAATATTTTTTGTAACTTATTGGGGGAACGCTTGAGGCAAGAATAGCCAGGAATTATACCTGCAACATTTCCTTTAACCACTGATTTCTTCGTCACTACTAACTGGATTAACTTTTACCACCTATTTCTTCTCTACTAACTAGATTTCTAACTTTAACCACCTATTTCTTCTTCACTACTAACTAGATTTCTGACTGTATGTTTTAAATGTCAATAATGCAAGCCAATTCGATTAGAAGTAGAGTTCATTTTGATTTTCAACACTAAGTTTTATTTCTCTGAAACTATAATTTCTTTTTAGAAAACCAAACGAATAGATGCTTTCAGACAAGTACACAGTGGGTTGTAAAAGGCACATAAAATAATCATTACCTTAAAAATTGAATTATCTTCATTTCCCATGTGTGTAATTTTAATGACCTTCTTTTCAGGAAGCATGATATCACATGGAAAACAAATATGAAATATTTTTTGTGAAATATCTGCTTAAACAACAGGCATAACTTATTCTTGTATACATATAAAAGAAAAAAATATATGCATACATATTTAAAATCTAAGCGCTTTTTATCTGAACAAAAAACTGCTTTGTCTAAAGCAGTTAAAAAAATTATAAAAAGCTGCAAATTTTACAATTAATCAAAATTATGGTATCTCAGAATTGGGGGGGGGTAAGAGAAAGATAGTTATTTCTTTTAGACAAACAGTATTTGAATTTTGATAAAACGGGGGGAAGAGGGCTGTTTTATTTATACTCTACTCATGGAAAGGGCTGATCCCATTTTTCAGTGTTCAGCTCAATTTTAATGGAGGATAGTAAATATAGTAGGGATCATAGTAAAGCATTTGAGTCTTATGAACACCTTGCAAGTCATACATATCCTATATATCAAATAAAATTTTCAGAAGTAAATTTGCTTATATTTACACTGCATGTGGAGAGAATGCAACTAAACTTTTTGCATTGTGATGAAAAAAACCTGCAAAGAGAGATAAAGTTTTATGGATAGATGAAGTAATAAAGAAACGTGAATTAATAGACAGACAGGTAGATAGATAGAAATGACAGAAAATAATGAAGACAAATATTTTATATCACTTCAACGACGTGTATAAATTATTTATTTGAGAGGGAAGAATTGAGGGGGAAAAATTCTTAAAGATGTTTACGATTAAAATCTATTTCTATTTTGAACTGAAACCATAATTTTCACAACAGCAATAAATATATTTGACTAATAGTCAATCAACGAGAATTTGTAACCAAGTATATAACTTAATCAGTGCTGCGCAGAATTTCAATCATTCTGAAATGTAATTCATATTAATTTATTTATATTAATTTATGCACATTTTCAAAGTAGATATAAAGACTTCTTTATATCACATCCTCAAACAAAAATTCTGATGTTTTATTATTAATCAATACACTTTTAGAAATATTTTCAAAAGAAGTTCCCCAATTTTGGAATGACAATTTTTAATAGCACTCTATAGAATTTAAGTTACATGAAAGCAAATTAGAGATTAGTTTTGCATAGATTATGATTTAAGTATTTCTATATTAAAAATGGGGATATTACCATGAAAATCATAACAAACTGATGATATATATTGCAACTTTATTCAAATACAAATAAATTCAAACATACAAAGTCTATTGTGGATTTGTACTCTTGTATACTATGACAACATTTGTAAAATATATAAATATACTTTTAAAATTTATAATTTAACATTTGAAAAACGTGTGTAAGATGTTAATTTTAAATTTAAATTCTAAAATTTAAAAATAAAATGGCCACATAAAATAAAAGTTTCAATGCTCTTTTATGTATACAAAAAAAAAAAAATGCAATATAATAAGAGACAAAAACCAATGTACATTAAAAGTATAATACAAACATTTATATTTTATTCAAGAATTTATATTAATGTCAATATATATATATATATATATATTATGCTCCTTTCATCACTTTGGTTGACTGGATTAGTAATATTTGTATTTACAATAACAGTTCAAATACCAAAGAATGAATATTTTAAAATCAGTCTCCTATTTGCATTTACAATTTCTATTATCCACCAGCTGTTATCTTAAGGAATGTGAACCATCTCTTTGAGGAGCCTGTAAAACAAAATTGTTATATAGAATAAAAACATAATTTTAAATACACATTGGGTAACAAATGTTCATACTATGAAGAGGATATACAATTTGGACATTAAAATTCATGATTTTTAACATGCACAGTAATGTAGCATTAATATCTTTCATTAAACTGAAATGAAATATTGTGAATAAATATTCAGGAAAAATTTAGAATGTGAAATATATACACTTACCCACACATACAGAAGAAACTCATTTATTTTCATTTACACTGTATTAAGAAGAAGAAAATTTTTCTACTTATGATATTTTTTGTTAGAATAAAGAATTATATTTGTTCAACACTGGTTTTCAGTTTCTGCATATGTTCAAAAATTTCATTGACAAACATTACCTTTTAAATGATAATATCAGTACAGAGATGCGAGTATGTTCCAAACTTCCTGCCACTAGTGGCATAATGCAATTTACTTCTTAGTTATCACTGAAGGTTTCTTGTTTCTACTCTTGTTACTGCGTTCATTATTTTTTCATTCTGCAGTTGATCAGAAATTATAACCTTTTCACAAAAATCGATAGCATTGATTCAATACAAAGGGCACTTTTTTAAACAATGCCAGTACCTCTATGCAAGTAATGCTACTGCTTACTAAGCAAGAAACCTTCACAAATGTTCCCCACCCTTACATAAATATGGTTTAACCACATCAAGGTAAAGATGTTTAAGTAAGTATGGTTATGCAAGTATGTTTTTGTTTTGCTGTTCTAATTAATAAATGAAAATCACATTTTTTTGGCAATGCTTCAGCATAAAAATACTGGCATCATTCTGAAGTGCACTACTTTCTTTCAATAAATAAACAATAATGATAAAAAAAAAAAAAAAAAAAAAAACTGTTCTTCATAAGGGTATGCGCAGCTATATGCTGAGACATCTTTGTGAAGGTACCATTGTATACAGCCATCAGCTTGAATAAACATGTCAGCACCTTTATACAGTCATACCCAAATAAGATTTCTTCTTTCAGAATCCCTAGATATGACATAAAGAAAACTGAAAAAAATTTCCCAGATTGCCTTTGAAACTGATATGCTATAAATTATATCTTTAACACCAGACATCAGCATACCTTAGATGAGAAAATGAATTTGTTCTCACTACTGATAAATCCATATGAGACAAATATTATATTAACAGAAGTCATTCAGAGTTAAAATTCAGTTTCATATGAATCCTCATTTCTTTGAATATCTGATAATACCAAATATTCTGATTAAAACAGCAAATAATGATATGCTTGTAAGAGTAGTTTCTACTCAACTTACGAATCAGAAAACACACACGCACACTTTTTTAAAAGATTTTTAAACTTCTAGTTTAAATATGGATGTTTAATATTATTAATAAAACAAAGTTGATTATTAAAAAATATCTGCAATATATAGTTTGTTAGGTTATTTTATTTCTGAGAATCAATGCCCTTTTTCCTCTGTTAGTGGTACTCTAATACAAAATTCCATCTTTCAATGCATGCAACTTTAGAAGCAAAGAAAAACAGTATTTAAAATGAACTATTCAAAGTAGAAAAGTTAAACAACAGAACATGTATTGGTAAAAGTGGGCAGGACACTAGAATTGCACCACTGCTCATACAAGTATAGCCCCCACCACATTAACTGTGCAATTCTGCCTCAGTTTTTTAGACAGACACTGTGGAGGTTTTACTTTCACAGTTAAAAAAATAAAAGGAAAGCAAGTAATAGAAATCTGTAATTAATTTATCTAAAAAGAAGAAATAAACTCAAAATACAGTCAAATGTCTTTAATTCGGACCTCAAAGCTACAAACTTTCTTTATAACAGACGGTATACGCTAAGCTAAAATTATCTATCTATTTCAGTTAATGTTGCGGATTGCGTTCTTCCTTATTCTTCGTAATTGGATCCGGCTTATTATTTTTTACAGACTGTTAGAGCAATTATATAAAAGTAAGCTTGAACTTTCGATTCTGTCAAATAAAATTTCTGATGCTGGAGCTGCCAAAGGATCTACAAAGCAAAAGCATGTTTCGATGTCCATCAAACAAAAAGTGGAATTGCTGCAAAAATGGGGGGGGGGGAAGTCGCGGCACGTGATGAACTGGAAGTTGACCTGCCTGCACTATCCTTATCTTCAGGGCAGATGTTTTTATTTTATTCGGCTTATAATTCCTTATTAAATGTAGTATTTCATCTCGATGTACTTGTTTTTGTAAATTTTGATACCCTTTAGATCATAATTGCTCTTTATTTCATAAATTATGGTTTCATATTTTTAATTTTATAATTTCTGCATGCCATCTTACCAAATTTAAACTGATGATCTATAATCCTGAATCATCGAAATCCCAACGAGTCCGGATTAAAGACTTTTGACTGTAGTGAATTTGCAATTTATATAATTTGAAAAGCATCAATATCATTTACAGTAGGTTGTAATAATATATAATATACATATTATTTGAATTAAGAAGATGTTTTATCACTCTTTGGTTTTGCTTTTAAAGTTAACTAAAGTACGTAAATCATTGAAGCGAGTTAAATCAGGCAATAAAAGAATCATGGTAATAACAATTTTTTTAGTCAATATTTACCACTATGTGAGAAGTTCTAACAACTGTCAGTCACTATCCCTGATAAGGTTACACAAAAATTATTTCCTAATATTTTATATGATAATACAGTACAAAGTTTAAGATTTGGACTCATTGGGACTTCGGCGATTCCGGATTTGAGATTTTTCCAGATAATATATCATCAGATTAAAACTAGTAAGATGGCATGTAGAAATTATAAAATTAAAAATATGAAATTATGATTTATGAAATAATGAAGCATTTATGATCTAAAGAGTATCAAAATTTACATACACACACACAAAAAAAAAAAAAGCTTAATATTTATTTGTTTACTTTATTAAACATTTCTTTCAATGTAAGCTGTTGAAGTTCCTTTTTTTATGCTAATATTTTCTCTTTAATTCAATAGACAGACATAATTTCTTGATCAGCTACAAAGTTCCACTGTGTTGAGGATTCCGACTAACTTGTCAATAGAATTTTTTTTTTGTTTTCAATAACCTCTTTGTCACTTTTTAACATGGGTAGTGGTATTTTCTGGATCTAGAAGTCTATCAGAAGTTCTTCACTATCGGTAGTGGATTTTCTGGTTCTACAAATTTCGCTTTCCATTAACTGATTGATGATTGGGGTTCTACCATCACAATGAAAAAGTCTGTTATAACATCTTCGTTTACTTCCGCTTCTCCACATTTCTTTACAAAATCCAATAACTGGAAAATTTCATCTTCTTCATTAGCTTGCGATGTCTGAAAACCTTCAAATTCGTGGCTATTATCTTCATCGTCCTCACCATGAAATATGGTAGCTGGCCATAAATTATGCCAAGCATTTTTTAACGTATCTGGAGACACATCCTCCCACGATCTTGCGATGCTCCACACAGCAGATTTTATGCTAAAAAATTTCAAAAAGTCTTGAATAGTCTTGCCATTGTTCAAGAAATTTAACATAGATTTTAAAAATGCTACTTTATATTTGCATTTCAGCGCGTGCACTATTCCCATATCCATAGGCTGAATGATAGACGTACAATTTTGGAGGGAAGAATAATACGGATACATTATCTTTCACTAAAACTTTAAGTGAAGTATGCACCAAACAGTTGTCAACAATCAGGACTATTTTTGAGTCATCAGGTAAACCAACCGAATTCAAATGTCACCAGGCCTCGATTATAAAATGATTTTCAAACCAATCATTCAGCAATGCTTATGTGATCCATGCTCTTTTTATTTGCGCGATATATAATGAAGAAAATCATTACTCCTTTAAATGCTCGAGGTCGTGTATTTTTTCTGATTACGAAAAGTTTACACTTGTGTGTTCCTGCAGCATTTGCGGATGCTAAAATTGTCAGTCTTGTTTTGGAATCTTTGACACCAGATGGAAACTTTTCTATAGAGGTTGCCAAGATATTTTGTGGTACATGTTGCCATAAAGACCAGTTTCATCAGTGTTGTAAATTTATACTGGAGATAAATTTTCACTATTAATCAGTTCAATGAATTCATCCAAAAACAGTCCATCAGCTTCAGTATCAGTTGAAGCTTTTTCACATAAAATTTTTACTTACCATGGTGATCTTTAAATTTGGTTAACCAACCTATTGAATATGTGCACTCAGGTTTTAAGTTCATTTCTTAAGTGAAATATTTTGGCTTCAGCAATAAGCACTGGACTCGTCAATTTCATGCCCTTGCTGCAACACTGTCTGACCCATTCAGTCATTGCTTTGTCATAATTTTCACTTTTAGCATAATGAATAATGCTTCCGTTATTCATTACGAGTGGGGTGTTGGAATCCACAAAAAATTCAAAACATTCCTTTTTCTGTTTTCTTATGTCATATACAGTAGACTTACTAATGCCATACTCCTCGCATAACTTTGAGACTGATATACCTTCCCCCCATTTTTTGCAGCAATTTCACCTTTTGTTTAATGGACATCGAAACATGCTTTCGTTTAGTAGATCATGTTGCAGTTCCATAATTAGAAACTCTTTTTGACATACTCAAAAGTTAGCTTTAATTTTCATAAAATTGCTGTAATAAAAACAGCCTGCAAAAAATAATAAGCTGGATCAAATCAGAAAGTTAAGGAACAGCATAAACTGCTATATTGACTGAAATTTCTTGGAATTGGTAGAGTATAATTTTAGATTAGCTTAATAGCATCAGCTATACATTATTGTCTATCTATCATGAGACTGGCACTGAAAGGCAAAGTGTTCCACTAAATTTCATTTGTGCTTTAAAAGGTTTCAGATTTTAAATTACGTCCAAAGGGACTTTTTTAAATGTTTTGTGCATTGCCTTTATTTATTAAATATCATTTTCTTTGCACTTGAATCATAGAATTCAATTCAACAGTAATATTGCAAAATAATTTTAAAATTAGCATATCTTTAGAATTTTCGATAGACAGTCTTGTGCGCTAGAGATAAAAAAATTTTTTTTCCCGTACAGTGTTGCCACAGCTCACTTTGAAATTGTTGAGTCTGTTAATAAAAAATTCGTTTAAGTGTTACAAAATATGAAATCAATAACGAATCAAATTTCAAATTTGGGCTTCCAGATGCCCATAATCGGGTCTAGATGTACATTATTCAAAATCTGATGGCTTTAGGTGCCATTGTTTTATTACTATGCAAGAAACATACATACATTAATGCAGATTCTCCATTATTTAAATTCTTTAAACATAACACAGGGTTCTAATATTTAGTGGCAACAATTTAAAAAGTGAACCGACATTTATAGTGAACCAATGCAAAATACCAAAGTGAAATTAATAGCCCTTCCGGGCTAATTAAAAATGTTTGCCTCAGAAATGCAGCAACATGGAAATTAAAAGAAAAGCACATATAATTAATGCTTTTGAAAGAGCTATCACTGATGAAAACTGAAACAGCAAGAAAATTAGCATGTCTAACTTTGAATGAATTAGAAACATTGATATACATTTCAAAATAAAAATGTATGTATTAAAAAAAGTTTATTTTTTTAGATTAAATTTTAAATATATAACTTAAAGAACAATTTAAATCTTTCTTTACTTCAGAATTCACCATATTTAACACACTTTTTAACCAATTTCAAGAGCAATGCATGACTTGAGTGTACTAATTTTTCATTAAGAGCTAACAGAAAATTCATATTGATAACTCAAAACATTCAGCATAACAGGTAAAGAGAATGCAAATAAACTGGCAAAAGAGGCTGGAAATCTTAGCAATAATTATAATGTAAATGTCACTCTTTCAGACACAAATGCCATGGCCAAACACAGATAGAAGGAACTTTCAATTCTAATAAAGCACCAACTCCATAACATCAATGGAGATTGACTTACAAATAAAATCATTGTCAGACTTAGAACTGGCCATCACGGAGGATTGAAAATTAACAAAGAGGTAGGAAAAACCTACAGGAACTGTGATAACTGCATGGATAGAGAACTGACAACTGCACACATTTTTGATTGCTTGACCATCCCTGCTGAATTGCTAAACATTGGTGTCTTATTTTAGAGACTGAACTTCTGTGATGACAACATTTTGCAGATTGCTAGTGCTGTCATCTTTGCTCATGGCACTATTTGAATAGGCTTTATCATAGACACAACAACAACAATAGAAAATATAAGCTTTTGTTGAAAATTCAAATTTCAACTACAATGATTAATTCTATCATAGGATAATGAGATAATACTGTTATAAAAGACTGCATTAAGTCATGATGTATCTGTGATGTTAGTTGAAGACAAGACATGTCTAGTGAATAATTTTAGACTTTTTACACATGAAATAAATATGAATGATGCTAATTTTTAAAATATAAAAAAATCACAAAGCATATATATATTTACGGCACTACTGGTAAAGAGTTTTAAATTATAATAAATATGGGAAAAATAAAATGAAAATATCTCACCTGATGAGATGTAAATATAGGCATATTTGTCTGTGTCATTACCACTGGATCAAGTAACAATGGTAAAGCAACAGGTGATGGCAAAGGCTGAGAAACATTTGAAACAGTCACTGCGGAACAGTTATTTATAGGTGTATTAGAATACACTATAGGGGCTGTTGGTGGATGAAGAATCACAGATACTGGTGGTGTCATCAGGTTGGCATCATCATGGGATGATGCAGGAGGAAAATATACTGGACTAGATGTAGGACTAATGAGAGCAGTTTCCTGAATTTTATCACAATTCACATCTGTTTGATCTGAAATAAAAGTATAAAGGATTTGTAACATCAAAACATCACTTATGAAATTCAGCCACATTGAGATAAATGTGATTTTCCTCAACGATTGTAATATTCTCATATAATGAACAATACTGGTACTTATGTATTACCATAATCATCTTAGTGCAATCTAGTGATTTTTTGCAGAAGAAAAGAATGATAATTTATATTTGTAAAATTATATGATACATATAATACAAAATAAATTTTAAAAAAATCCATCCCATATTGAGTTTGTTCATAAATGTTTGGAATTATCCATATGCAAAAAACCAGAAGCACAAACTGCATGACATGTGCAAAAAATGCCAAAACCAAAAATGAAAAGGAAAAAAGAAATTTACATCTTTGGCTACAACGACAGCAGTAAATACACCAGCCCATTTTAGAATAAAAAAAGACACAAATTAAAGTTTACTACTTAAAATAATCTCAGAAAATTAATCAAAATAGTATGTGTCTTTATCAGTCCAGCTCCTACGGACTATAGAAAGCAGTGAAAAAATTGCAAAACTGTAACATGAAAAACATAAACAAGCTTAGTTTTTTTTTTTTTATTTTTTATTTTGAAAAGACAGAGTAAAAAAAAAAAAAAAAAAAAAAACCATATACAAGCAATCTGACATGTGAAAAAGTTCAAAATATATGAAAATTTCAAACCATACAGGTTAAAAAAATTGTCTTGCAAACTTATAATATCAAAATCATAAACAAGGAAAAGAGCTTAAAATTCTAATAAAAATTATTTTCTATTTAAGAAGACCGAGCCCAAAAAATGTAAACAGAAAAAACCAACATTGGAAAAATAATAATAAATGGAAATTTGAGGCAAAAAAACAAAAGAAGAATACAACTCACTCAAGACAGCTTTCTTGAGGAAACGGAGTAGGCCCATTTTGTTAATAAAAGAGATAGATAATTATTAGACACTCTAATCTAAATTAAAACTAATGTAAGAATTTTGAAAAGAATGACTAATGCAATTCCATTAACAATACCTAGACTAATGCCATAATGGTTTAGGCATAGCTTATCATTGGATGGGATATGTAAATGAAGCTGGGATATGCAAATGAATAGTATTTCAGCACATTTAAACAGGAGAGAGAAACGACATCTGAAACATTGCATAAGAGAAAAACTGTGTAGTGGATTTTTCATTCGGAAGTGCTTTGTAAGGTTGGAGTTTGCTCAGAATATCGTGTTATGCCTCAAATAAAAACAGGAAATGCTTAGTAGCAAGTTTCAAAATTCGATAGGTGCAGGATCATTGCCTACAGAAAGTGTAGATTACCATTTCATGATATCACTGGTCACATTGGTCAACATCCAACCAGTCATGCAAATATGGAATCAATGGATTCCTGCAGGTCACACTGAACGGCTCGCAGGATCTTAACACCCTCCCATGACTAATGCCAGAGAGGACAGACATATTGTAAGGTCAAACCTTGCAAAACCGTACAACCACATCACAAACCACTAGTCAGAAAATGGGCATGCTTGCAGCGCGCCCAGCATCAGCTCGTAAGGCGTGTTGTTGTTTGCAGTAGCATGAACCACCAGCAGGGTGACCATTACTTTGACTTCCGTTGAGCATTGGAGAGAGAGAGAGAGATGGTAACTCCGGGGTGCTAAACGACACAGCTGGGTACAGAAATGGCACAAAATCACTTTTTCAAACAAGGCCCAGTTCTACGTGGAGTATTCTAATGGCTGTATATGTTTCTGAAGTGTCTGAAGAGACTGCATGTTGCCTGCTAGCATTCGATTATCGTTATATGGGCCTTGTACCTAGTGTGATGATTTGGGCAGCTATTGGGTACACAATACATACATCTCTAGTTTGGATCAATGGTAATTTGAATGCAGATGGGTACATTTCTGACATCTTATGTCCAATGGTTGTACCCTATCTTCGAGGCCCCCAAACAACAAGATAATGCAAGATCACATGTTGCACACCATGTTCTGACCTTCCTCGATACACAGGGTAGTTGATTGCTACCCTGGCCAGCATGGTCTCAAGATCTGTCACCCACTGAAACATATGGTCATGGGTTGCTGAGAGACTGGCCCACCACCCCGCTTCAGCTTCACGGTCAATGAAGTGTGGCATAGACTTGAAGCAGCATGGAATGAGTTGCCCATTTCTGTCATCGAAACACAGTTTGACTCCATACCTAATGGGGTAAGGGCCGTTTTAGCTGCCATGAATGGCAGCTGTTTCTACTAATTTCATACCCCTGTAAACCTACAAAATGCTTACAAGTTTAATTTTTGTCTTCATGACATACTGGTTTATGAGTGATAAATATACTTTTGTATTTGCTTTCCTTCATGGCACTGCAATTTTAATGGCCAGCAGTGTATATACCTGTACATAAATTAAAAAAAGTTCTGGTTCGTGGTAATTGTTAATGAAATGATATTCCTGAACACAGGGATAGGTCACACATGACTGTTGAATAGTTGGTACCGACAGAAATACTGTTAATTTGTAAAGAAAAAAAAAAAAAAAAAAAAAATTGATATTTAATAAAATTGTGAAAATTTGCATAGTATATTTAAGATAAGAATCCTATTTATCAAAATCAACCAATTAAGATTTTAATGCTGGTAAACTGGTGATAGAGCTCAATTAAACTATAGTAAATTTCAGTATGTTGGAAGGTGGTGTACAAGTTCTCAAAATCAAAGCAGTTAACATTGTAAATTTGTTGTTTGTTAACAGTTTTAATAACTTTCTGATTATTGCTGATAATACAATTGTTATGTATTTAAACATTAGTTTATTTCTGGATCTAAAAAAAAAAAAAAAACTTTTTTCGAGAATTTTGATGAAATTAATACCAATCCTTTAATTTAATCCAATTTTTAAGACAAGTATTCTTACTAGAGGGTAGTCAATTCTTAACTCAGTGTCTAATTTCATAAAATTCTTCAGCTGTTGGTTTTTAATAATATTGATATCTCCGGCGACCATGTATTTGAGATGCTGATCAATGTGTTTCTCAAAGCTTGATTCATGGCAGAAGCATGGTGCATCATCAATAAATGATTCATTGTTACAATTGGTAATAATACCAATTAATTTTTTATTGTAATTAAAAGAGCTAAAGTCATTAATAGGGATTATTTTTAAAGACTTTTTCTAAATTTAACAAAGTTGCACTGTAAAGAGTTTTTCTTTGGGGGGGGGGAGGGTTCCTGGTACAAATCTGTGGCATTTGCATCACAAATAAAAAGGAATTGTTCTCTATTCAGTGATTTTGTGGCAAAATTCTGTACTTCTGCAGAAATTTTACTGCAGTTTTTTCCTATATAAACTGATCCCACAAGCATATATTCTAAAATTGACTTTACAAAAATATCGCAACATTTATAAAAGCTGATGGAACTCAAGGGAGACATTTCTTCATTACACTAAGATATCATTATGTGCATGGTTGCTAATTTGGCAGTTTCTACTGTGGTGGTTATACTAAAATGTAAATTTTACAGATTTGTATGACAATATGTACAATTCTGGAATTTCCTAAGTCATAGCCTGCATTTAAATGATGGGTGAAATAATATGCATGAGTAGCTAAAACAGATCAACCATTCCAAATCCTAAGGATTTTGACGCAAATACTTTTTACAGTGAAAAAAATACTTGCCGCAATCTAATTCTTTTTTTTGGGGGGAGGACAATAATTTTTTATAATTATGAAGAAAATATAATTCATCATATTCTTGACAAAATCACAAAATTTATTTCAAAAGAGAAAATGTAATATTAAAAGATAAAGCAATTTAATATTGAAAAATTACATTACAATCAAGTGCCCTTTTATGTTTTCTGAATTTAATCCTTCAAGCGTTACAGACATAAAACTTTGTACAGAATGATGCTTATTGCAATCTTTGCAAAATGTGCCAACTCCTGATCAATTTAATTTTGGTTTGGATGTAAATTAGAAGAAAAGGAGTCGAGGTACAAATTTTTGGTCATTTTGGTTAACTTTTAGCTCATTTTGGAATTATTATTAAAAAAAAAAGTAACACTTATTCATGACATTTTGGGGAACTTTGAAATTTCAGTGCCAAATCTGTAATGATCGGAAAGTTAACCACTTCTCAGTTCTGTCCATAAGTCATAGGAATTTATTTATTTATTTATATATTTTTGTAGCATGATTTGCTAATCTGTGATATCAACACCTCATTTTCAGTTGTATTTCTGATTTCATGTTTCAGGTATTTCAGACTGCCTTTTGATACACAGATGGCTTAACAAGCTCAAAACTCTTCTCTCTCTCCCCCTTCTGTATGATTTGCTGTAAAACACAATTGAACAGCTTTTAAATTCTGCCATCCTGTATGGTATGATGGTTAGTGGTTCCAGCTGCCATATCAATGGGCCATGTTTGAATGAATCCCAGAGGAGATATAGATTTTTGTGCATGTATACTTTTGTGCCAAAGGGCAAATAAAAATCTATAGAGCTTCAAGAAGTTGATTACGGGGAAAGAAGGGTACAAGACTCTAAGATTCTAGCCTAAAAGTGGTCTCACCAAACTGGAATTAGCTAGGCAAAGTCACTCTGTCAGTGTTCAACGCTTTGCCTAACAACAACAGGATTTTCTTCCTCTTAATTATGATGAATCAAACTTGATGTAAACTTTTATTCAGAGCAAATAACTGTGTAATAACAACCTTAAAGTTTTATTTAATGCAGTTTATGTATTTAATTTTTGTGAGTAAAAAATGGATGATTCTGATAGTGACAAAAGAGGCATAAAAGTTTGATAGGGATAAAGAGACATGTGTGAAAATGAACTAAGTAAAACCTAATTATGCTCTTAAGGTGTTTTAGAGACACCAAGATCATGCAATCTTTGATGAAAGCACTGCAGCAATGGAGAACATGATATGGGAAAATCTCAAACAATCAATACAAGAAGTTGGAATAACTATTAGACAATTAATTTTGGATCAGTCCATTATACCATTCATGTTGAGTTGAAATTTTACAAAATGTATGCAAGAGAGTTACATATTGCTTTGACATTGAAAAGAAAAAAAAAAAGATATTGTATTTGGTGAAAGTTTTTGCACGGATATGAGGCTGATGGTGAAGAATTTTTAGAGAAAATGATTCATTAAAGATGAGAGATAAGTACATTTCTAAGCAAAATTAAGATGCTGATCAGATGGCAGTACATGAGTGGCTGCATTATACATTACAGAAAGTATTCACCTTTCTGCAATATCTACACGCTTGGAGAAAATGCACTGAACTAAATACAGACAGCATTTAACAGCAATACTATAATCATTTTAATGTTTGCAATAAATAATCCGGGAAAAAATCCAGTTTTCCATAAAATGCAAAAATCAATAAGTGCATAAACACACAAATTATGGAAAAACTATCATACATTTGTATTAAATCTGATTTCTGAACTTTATAAAATAAATTCATGTTTCCCTATTAATGAATATATTTTTTAGACACAGTTAATTTTCTTTTAAGACTTTGAAACTAGGAAACAAATTCCGATGACTTACATTTTGGAACATCTTCTTGACTATCTACATGACTTTCAGGCACTTGCTCAACTGGTTCAGCTGTCTTGGGAACAGACTGTTTGAAAAGTTCATCTTTTAGATCAGGAAGAAAAGCATTTATTCGATCCCATGTAATATGCCACATTTGACACTTCTCTGAATTGTTTCCATCTTCTGGACATTCAAAAACACCTGCAGTATCCATGACTAAAAGCATATTTTTCAGAGATTCAGGAATAGCTTCAGCCTTAAAAAGAGGGGAAAGTGCAACTAAATGGTTCTTTTTTGTGTATGAAATAAAATAAAAATATCTATTATTTTTTTATAAAATATAGTTAAAATATGTATAACTAGAGATAAATTGATTTGTGAGGTAACTTAAAGCACCTCAATAAGATGGAGATACTTTACATGATATGGGATAATCTCAAACAATCAAATATGCCATTATATATTGCTTATATTACATAATATACTTTTATTTTTTATATTATGAAATATGTTCCTATTGCTTTTTCTGAGCTAGGCTGTTCTCTACTAATAAATTTTCAAAAAAGTAGATGTTTTTAAGGTAGAATTTTATTTATTTATTTATTATTATTTTTTTGATTGAATTGCTAATAAGAGAAAGTCATTGTAAGTTGGGAAGGAGAAGGATTTGGCCAATATCTACACTGCCTGACAAAGAAAAAGGGTCACATCATGAAAGAATAATTGAAAAAATAATAATACACACAGATATATATCAAGAATTCAATCATGTTTCCCAAATGCTCAAATGAGAGACTGGGAAATAGGGCTGGCCAAAGAGCAAGGAAACATTTTAATGTTTTGCAATGCATTCAGGGTGAACCAATAAAGCACATGGTTGGTCATTATCTTATTGATAACATCTGGGGTGCCCTCAAGATATGGAAAAAACATAGGGCTGCAATGCATCCTAATGATGAAAAATATTTACAGTTTTATTGGTTGCTTATTACATAAATAAATAAATAAAAAGAAGAGAAACTGATAGACTATTGCAATATACAATTTGTCACATTTTTTTATTCACATGTATTATTTTGCAAAAGAAGACTACAAATCTCAGAATATTTTATGTTGAAAGTTAACAAAATGACTTAAAGTGTTAATCTCAGACACTGTACAAGAGTTGGTATCTAAGAGGAACTAAATTCAACAATTCAATGATGAACAAGCGAATGGTGGTTCTATGATAACTCCATAATCCAAGAGCAGATTTTTATTGTCAGGGAACCAAACATTTAGCTGAACATTCAGGCAAATATTAACTAAGTTGAAAAACATTGTGTTGCATCTGAGCCATAATATATTTTAGCATCCCACTAGGTAAAATTTGCTTGTCCTGCAACAATTAAATGTTACTAATTTTTTTGAATTCTCATCATAATTGAAATTTAATTTAATAAAATATATACAAAATAAAATCTGTGTATTCTTAGTTGACTATTGATGCAGTTTTATTCATTATGTCTATCGTTGGCATGAAGTCCAAAAGATTTATAATATAGAAGGGGAAAAATAGTTGATGAACATACCAGTAAGTCACTTCCATCTGCATGCATGTACTTGTCCATAAATTCAAGAATAGTCAGCCATAGGGCCATAAAAGTGGGCAAAGTTAACAAGGGACTCAGATGTTGTAAGAAAACCTAAATAATAATTATTTCAATTAATACATTGTTGAAGAATAAGGACACAAATTTTAAATTTTGAAAAGAATATACATTTATTTTAACTTTCTATTATAGTCACAATTAAATTTTTTTTATTTTTCTTTTCCAGAATAAATATATTCCTTTCCATTTAAACTTATAACGTGGGATGAAATACTTACAATTTAGAGTGAAGAAAATACTAACTTTACATAAAAGAGTTGCACCCCTCATTCGAGTTTCTTCCATCCCGAGGGGATCAGTGGGACTTATATTTTCCAGAAGTTTTGCAAGAAGTGGAAATAATACCTAAGAATGCAAATTCATATAGAAATAATCAGATAATAGTAAACAGAAGGCAAAGGAAGAAAGTGTAACTAATCATAAAATCTCTTTGGCAATGAAAATTATTACTTTTATGAAGTCATGTCAATGCTTATTTTTATAACTTGTACAGAAATAAATGAAAAAAAAAATAATTAAAAAAACAACAATTTTGAACATTATTAGATCTTGCGAGCACCCTAGGTTCATCCTCAGAATACATTTTAAAAAGAAATGGTTAGCTTGAAATGTGTTAATGTTTTGTTGTCACTGAACTAAGTGGGAGTTTTAGTTAATCTATGTCCTTCATCCAATAAATAAACAAGCTTATGACAAACACAACAGGTAAACCCTAAGGTTTAAACAAAACACAAATGCAAAACACAGAGATCAGATAACATATATTAGACAGATATCTGATTAATTCCAAAGATTTTTATGAAAAGTAGCTAGAGTGCTTTATTGCCTTTCATATCACCAAAACTAGTGAAAAATTAAAAATATTTAAATAAATCAATTATGTTTTTCATTTTACTTGGCTTGGAAATAATAATAAAAAAGTTTTCCAAATAATTTTACTATACTGCAAAAGCTTTACATAAAAAATAGGATGTAAAGTAAATGCCATTCGAAAATTTTCTGTAAAACTATTATTATGTAGCCAAAATATGAAACATATGATTTTCAAAGTAGATTTTATTAATTTAAACATATTATTGCATAAATATTTATAAAAGCTAATGTTTAAATATATTAAATCAAATATAACAATTTTAAAAAAATAAAATAAATAATTATTAAGAAGTACAGTTATTGTTTTGATGATGAAAAATATATTACACAAGTATCTAATGTAACGATGAAAAACAAATTACCTAAGCATCCAATGTTGATCTTTCATTTACCAACTACATGGCAAAATAAAGTAAAAGTTCTAAAAAGCTATTTTCTTTAAGTTGCAGAAAATCTTAAATTTAAACTATATATTGCTCATTAATAATTTAAGCATCAATGTAATTAAAAATGTTTATTTCTAATACTGCACATTAAGTATCCCTGCATGGAATAATCATCTATTTCCAGCATAATACTGAGGTTCACAACCCCTCTGAAAAATGTGTATTGTTTTCACTTACATTAAAATCTTATACTAATAAATAAATAAATAAAAAAGAAAGAAAGAAGAAAAGCCAGATACTATTATGCCTTGAAAATTGACAGAAGAGTAGAATGGAAAGAATCTAAAACCAGTGCTTAGCAAATATGGCTATTATGTGAAACAAAATTTTTTATTTAACACAAGATTTCATATATCCAATTCTTAGAATGCTGTCACTCAGCAAAGCATAAGATCTTATATTTATCTTTTGAATTTAATGAATCTCTTGTTAATTAACAAACTGAAAAATTTAAAAACAATAAATGCCATTATTAATATTTTATATTTTTACTTTCTTTTTTAATAATGCATGTGTATTATGTAATAAGTATTTTTAATGCTTATATAAATCAAAAAGCATTTAATTTCAAATATAAAAAATTGATAATCAACAACACTTGCACATCTACTGGAATTAATGAAACATATTTTTAATGCCATGTTATACAGTTATTACAGAACCATTTAATTCTTAATACATTTTACACTTTTTAATGTTATTATTTTTTAAATGGTTTTGAGGATTTAAAATTCTGATTCAAAGATGAATTGCTGCAGTTTCTCATCAGACTCGAAGACAAATTTTTCAAAGAGGAGATAATTCATGAAATTTTTTTTTTTTTCAATACAGTTCATAAAAAAGGATGAAACTGTTCACTGCATACAATTATAATATAATGCATGATAAGTTCACACCTGATCGCAGCAAGAATCAAGTAAAAGCTTCTGGAAGTCCCTTTTACTTACAGCAGCCCCATTTTATAGAAAATTCATTAATGTCACCTTGTTATTGGATCCCAAGGACTCCTACACACATGTTTCATTAATTCTTTTGAGTAATTTTGTTCATAACATCCTGCAATATTTAATAACTTCTTTTCAAAGATTTTGTATATTCAGTTTTGAAATGAACACAACTGTGTTATGATTATTTTAGCACACAAGGGATCCAATACATCCTTCATTTCACAAATGGTCTTCACATCTTTCTAGTGCTTACTCACATTCCTGTTGGATGTAAGTTTAGACAGTCACTTGTATGGATTATAATTATGACTATTTGTTTTGCGTCATTAAAAATGTGTGGAAGTAATGAAAATTTTGGAATGTAGATTATATTACTTATGGAAGAAATGAACAAATAGTAAATTTCAGTAACTGCATATTATGTAATAAAATAAAGAAAGCAAATCAATGCCAAGATTAGATTTTATGGAGAATGCCCGTTAAACAATAAGTGGAACTTCACTTAAATATCGGTTGTGCAAAATTTGACTCTTCAGACAACTATTATTCTTGTTCCAAATCCTATTTGGAGTCATATTAAATCCAGACTATTACAGCTTTGACTAAATTATCATGAAACAGAGATTAATTTTTATATACATCCATTTAGAGAGGAAAGATCTAATTTCTTTGCATGTGTGATTTTTGGAGGTTTTCTTAAACTACTACTTAACGATTAGAGAAAATGTTCAGTTAATTTCTGAAAATAGCTCAAATATTCTAGTATTACAATAATGTAAAAAAAAAAAAAAAAAAACTGCAAACTTAAATTCCAGCTGGATAGCATGCTTTTCTGTTTATACGAAAAATCCATCCTGTTTTAAATATAATCCATAACATTAAGTATTTTTAAACTAAGTTTAGCAAAATATGCAAATAAGATTTTTATAACATCAAAATACAAATTAAATATAAAAACACTATTCTGAAATTTTCAGACTAATAATTTTGTATCATAATATATATGCATACTTTGTTAAAACAAGACTCCCACTCTAAAGGTGTAAGTGTCTGAAGATCATGGACCAGCAGCGCCCGTGGTAACAGAGTTAATGCGGATGTTCTTAAAGCCCTTCTAGGATCACAACAGAGACGAGCAATACCTGAAAGACAAAGAAGAATGTAGTTCAGAATTTCAGAATGCATTAAGTTTAACTTTTAATAAAGAAAAACAATTTTATGAAATAAAAAATAAGAATAAGAGCCTGAGTTTACACATTATCCTATAAGTAATAATACGGCTGTTTAAAAAAAAGAGAGAACATGGAGTACAAATATTTTATTATACATAACTTATTAATACATTCTACTAAGCTTAATATTTATATAGATTATAGCTCTTAGAAAGGGGTTTAACACTATATGGTTTACATATACAGGAGGAAAAAAACAGGAGCATTAAATTTCAGAAATCTGATATAATAGCAATATGAACAATTATATTTTAAACAATTAAAATACATGACAAATTACACTTTTAATTAGTTATTTTAATGAAGAGGGAAGAAGATAAAATTACTTCGCTTAGAGGATTCTATCTTAGAGTTCTAGATAAAATATGAAAAGAAATATTCCCATAGTTCTACTGGTTATTAAAAAAAAAAAAAAAAAAAAAAAAAAAAAAAAAAAAAATAGAAATTAACAATTTGAATTACATAAGAAATGTCTCATGAAAATGCGATCAATTTAGTTTAAATGAAATGTATTGAAACATTCTAAACAAAAATACGGCTTAGCTCGCTGTCGGACTGAACGGAAGGACAGCAAATTCGGCGCCGCGCTCAACGTGTTAAGGTATACAAATATGAAATTATTTTTAGCGTTTGCTTGCGTCGATATTACGACTAAATAACAACTGCACCAGAATGCAAGGAGAGTCTCTGCTTGCCATTCTGGCGCCAACCAAAGACGAAACAAATGCATATTGTTTCTTCAAAGATGCTTATTGACTAAAGGGGAAAAGGCTAAAATACAATTCTGTATCATTTATTGCAAATAATTTTTTTCATCTATATAAATTGGAAAGAATAAACAATAAACATGATATATACAGGGTGTCTATAATTAAAGAAACCTATTTTAAAGCTGCCTACAAGCAAAACCAGTGATATGAAAATTGTGAAATTTTGTGGCAGACTTCATGAAGGGAAAAGAATTTCTTTCAGCGAAAAAAAAAAAGCAGTTATAAACAGTGTCACCAGAGGGCATTAAATTAATAAATTAAAAATAAAGCCACAATCTTTACAATAGTTTTACAAATTTTGTAACAGTGATGCATATTGCTTCCCAGTGATGCAGCATGTCACTGGACTTGTGGAACTTAGCCCCTCAAAGAAGTATGAGCCGAGAATAAATGACGCAGAAAATCCACATCATACCGTCACTTTTGATGAATGCAATGGAAACTCTAAGACCGGTCATAGTTTTTCTGATTCCCAAATTTGGCAGTCGTGAGTATTCAATGTATCGCTTAAATGAAAATGCACTTTGTCTGTCCAGAGAAGAATATTCCAATGCCATTCTGTATTGACTTCAAAGCAAGCAAAAATACTGAAGTGAAAACTGGAATAAAGTGTCAAAATCATGTGGAAGCAACTGGATGCACTAGTAAAAGTTTGCAAGAATAATATTGGAGGATATTCTGAAGAACTTATGGACAGCTGAACGTGGTTTATCCAGTATCTCTGAAATACGCCAGACACTGATGCTAGCCTGAAAGTTTGAAGCTGTGTCCTCTAAGACCTGAAGTGCAACCTCCTATACTGATTCTGTAGACAAGTTTTTTTACCTCTTCCAGGATGAAGACAGAAAACAATAGTCTTTCTTCGAATTGTTTGCATTTTCCGAAGGTTTTTAACATTCAAAGGACCTCTTGCAATCCTCTTCAAAATCCAAAATTTTCATAGAGCAGCTACTGTTTTGGTAAAATAATTTTACCAACAAAGTACAATCTCATGAATTTATCGTCATTGTGAACAACAACCACATTGAAAACAGTCTCCAAGAGTGTTTCTACGTTTTATAACAGCTGCTGCATGGTGTCAATAAAAATTTACATTTTAACTACAAGTTTTTCAAAGTAAAATGCCCTTCGGCGATTGCTATTTGTAACTAACTCTTTTTCTGCTGAAAGGAATTCTTATCCCTTCATTAAGTTTGCCACAAAAGTTTGCAATTTTCCGATCACTGATTTTGCTTGTAGGAAGGTTTGAAATAGGGTCCTTTAATTATAGACATCCTGTATATATATGTATGTATATAACTATTTAAAAATAAATATAATTAGATCATCAAAAGCTTAAAAAAATCGCATACAAATTTATTTCTCTCTGTATATATCTACATCCTGTTCTAAGTTTAACCTTGAGTTAAGTGGCCATCGCATGAGTTATAATAGCATTTAATATTAATTTGACAAAAACTAGAAAACACTACAGCACCTGTAAAAATGAAAACTGCAGTCATATAATATAATGTGTATAATATTTAACAAGTATAATGCCAAGCTTATGTGTGATGCTGAATCTGTGCGATTCTTTGATTTTTTATTTATTTATTTTTTAAGTGAAAATGGATAGCTGCATGCATGGGGAGAATGAAATATCATTTTTTCTCATCCTATATATTGTTGCCATATAAATATTTATTGGCAAATATTATCAGCATATCAACAGAAAACAATTAAAACTATAAATTAAAATACAAATTTGAATTACTAAATAAGGATTAGATGATAGATTACTATTATTCTCCTCATGGACACAGTTATCTGTTTTTGATTAACAAACACCACAGAATTGAACAAATTTGGCAATGTACACATTAAACATGATTATATGATACATTAGCGGTCAAACACGTTTGCCATTTCTGGTGAATTATTGTGGTGGCTGTTTTAAAAAGAAAGTACCAAACAATGTAAAATAAAATTTAGAAAAAAATACATTCATGTGAGAAAATAAAAGTTGGATTCCAGAAGTGAAGACCCAGTACAGCAAATAAATTATTTTTGAAGAAATACAGTTACATCAAAATACCTAACTAAATATGATTTTTAATCACTGATGTTGTTTCTTAATGTTATACATACAGCAAAAACAAACTATCCTTCAAAAAGAAAACATGTTACTTATTCAAGAAACAAAAATTGAACAGAAATATAGCTTATTAGATTTAATTCATTGTTAACTTTTGTTTACTCTCTGCAGTTTATTAGTAGGTTTTGTAAAATTTTTCAAAAAATAACAAAACTCATTCTAATCACACAATTATAAAAATATTTTAAAGCCATTTAATTTTTTTAACTTTAAGCTAGCAGATTAAAGTAATGTTTAGATAAACAAACGAAGAAATTTTGTTGCAGAACAAAATGCAGAAAACATGGTATGTATGTGTAGACTAATTTAATCTTCATTTGAAACATTTAAATATTCAAAATATGAATAGATTATGAAGGCAAAGTTCCAGTTTAAGAAATTTATTAACTCTCTAAGTGGTCACGCATTTGGCTCTCAAACCCTTAAGTTCCCCAGAAGGCCATAATTATGTGATATTTTCTTAATTATAATTCCAAAATGATTCACCCACTCTATCTTTTGATTCTTTTTCATCAAAAACATATTATACTATCTTAATTATATAAAATTGTTTTAAAGTACATACTTTTGTATTTAAAGGTATAATAACAAATAGTTTTGAATGCAATATATAGATGGCTCAGAAGGTTCAATAAGATATATCCTCAGTCTGTGGTAATTTCAGTTATGTGAGGCCATTCAGTAAAAATACATAAAATTAAAATTTTTATACAAACCCTTTACTTAGAAAGGTTAAATTAGTATGCTGATTCTTGTCACTCTTTCTGGGGAGAAATTAACTGTAATATACAAACTAGCCTTAAAACCAATGTCAAAATTACATGACATAAGACCTTTTTCGGCTGAGCCCACAAAGTTGCCAAGTGGCATGCGTTGCTGAAAGCTGACAGTTCAACTTAGAATTGAATATCAGCAAATGGATAGTCTGCAAGATTGATTTTTGTGGCTTTCTCCGTGTGTAACATAGATTCAAGCCAGTTTCCCTTAAAAAGTCCTTAATGAAGTCATCCTCTCAGTATGCAGATAGCCCTCCGTTCACTTTGCCTTAATAAATAAAGCTAAAAGTAACCTACCCTTTATCAGCTTATGAAAGATCATTAGTTTAAGGATTCACGTAAAAATGAAATCAGGTATAAAATTTTAAATTTAAGCATTTCTACAAATGCCAATTTGAAATCAATATTTCTAACAAAAGCTGGCTTTTTAAAAATTTGGATTCAACAATGTAATACACACGCTATCTTTACCAACATTTGTATATATGATGCGAAAATTTTTAATTAATGGTATATCAAATAGTTTTGTCTGGAAAAAAATGGCCTTTTTTCAGTTTTATGAGTTTGAGGTTTTTTTGTGAGGAACTGAAATTGTCAAATTAGTAATGTGAAGTAAATATTTCAAACCAAATATGTAAATTATTCAATGAAAAATGTGCAAAGTTAAAGACTTTCTTTATTAAATAAACCTAAAAGCATTAAATTATGGTGGAATAATGGCATAGTAAATTTCTTCGTTTAATATTTGGCACTGATACTTTGAAGTTTGTTTAATCTTCGGTATTTTTAGTTTCTATGTTTCTAGGATAAATTTCAATGGTTTACATTGGCATCATTGACATTATGTATTACAATTAGCATTCTGGAAAAAGTCATGGAAAGGTTAAAGTCTTTAAGCAATTCAGCTTTAGTAAGTCTCATATTTCTATGTTTTAGACATTTTGGATAGCTTCTTGAAACTCGATTTTCACCGCAGTCTCAACATGCTCTGTTTCAGAATAAGTTACCAGTTCTATTTTATGCCAATTTTTTTTGCCAAAGAATTATATAACAAACAGCTAGTTTATTTTTAGAAGTACAATGTCAAGAACGCCACTATTAACCTCTATTTTCATTGATAGGGAATGGTTTCTACCATTAATGGAAAACTAGTTTTTCCAACTTCTCATTGCATCATGTTTTGTGTTTAACAAAATCTTTGCTCTATTTAAGAAATTTAGGTAAGTTTTGACATTTTACTTTTAACTTTTTGAAGTTTTTAGGATTTTTACCACATCATTTTTAGTTTCTATGTTTCTAGGATAAATTTCAATGGGTTACATTGGCATCATTGACATTATGTATTACAATTAGCATTCTGGAAAAAGTCATGGAAAGGTTAAAGCCTTTAAGCAATTCAGCTTTAGTAAGTCTCATATTCCTATGTTGTAGACATTTTGGATGGCTTCTTGAAACTCGATTTTCACCGCAGTCTCAACATGCTCTGTTTCAGAATAAGTTACCAGTCTTCTATTTTTATGCCAATTTTTTTTTGCCAAAGTATTATTATTAACAACCTTGGCTAACAAATATTTATTTTGATAACAGTTCAGAATAAAAAGAAAATCAGCTGCACTTTTTTTCCAGTAATAAAAGTTTACATAACATATGTTTAGCCTAAATGGCAAGCACTGTTACTGTTGAAAATTATAAAATTCGAAATTAGTTTTTTAACATAGCACAGCTGCTGTATTTTTATTTATTTTGTACAAAAGATGTGATTTGAATCTAAAAGTTTCTATTTTTTACAGTAATGTACACTTTGTACTATTTTTATATATTTTTGTAATTTTTTAAAGTTATTTTGAGGATTGAATTCACACTGCGATATATTCTTGACTGTTTGAGATGAAATGTAAATCTTTTTGTAAAAGAATTTTGCGTTTAAATTTATTTTTATTTAATTTTTGTTATTACACTCAAAACATCAAGAACAAGGAAATACATATTCCATATTCCTGAATTGTTCATGTTTAAATAATTACCCTTCTGATCTGTCTATTTGAAGCATTACACTGTGAATAATTAATATGCAGATTTCAACTGCATATTTTCATTAGATAATTTTTTTTTTTTTTTAGGAATTTTTTTTATATTTTAAAGAAATCCTTTTAGTTCAAAATTCATCACTAGGTGGCACATTCTGCTACACTTTTGCTATACGTTCTCTATTTGTAATGTGGCTCGTTATTAACAAAAAGTGTATGTGAAAAATTGTATCTTTCAAACAGTTACAAACATAAGTTATTATTTGGTTATATTATTTTTATCTTTAATAATGCACACTGAATTCATTTTGAAGTGTTTTGTAACTGCAAGATTTTTTATTAATAGGTTCTGGCAATAGTAGAATATTGCTAAGTGTTCTATCTTTTTATTTAAGGTTAATTTATGCTGTGTATTTGAGATATAAGAAGAAAAGTAATCTTTTTGTGATATTTAAAGATGCACATATTAAGTTTTGATGTGCTTATGTGTAATAAATGTGTTTTATTAAACAACTTGAAGTTTTAATGAATCCTTATTGACTTTGGAGTATTTTTGAGAGACAATTATTTGTCAGTGTATTTTGTTAAAAATTGGCCGCTGTAACTAATAGGATGGTATATTGTTGCATACTATACTGCAAAGTTTTCTTCCTTTTAAAAAAAATGTTTACGATTGTATTTAAATAATTATTCACAATATATAACTGTTGGACGGATAGCATTTCCATCAGTTTCATGTAATCCAGATTTAATACAAATACATAATACAAAATTTCTTAAACAAAAGCCATCATCATGTAAAATTTTAAAGCTTTAAAATTCTTTTGCTATGTTTCTTTTGCTCAGCTTTTGTATATAAACAAACTTCTTAATATGTGTGTGTACGCATGTCCAGCTTCATGTCATTTTTTCGTCTTTCCAAAATAAAAATATCATACATTTTTTTTATCATATTGTACTTTACTTTATCATACTTTACTAGAGACAATCTCTGTTTTCTGCATAAATGATACTTTAACCTATCACACACACACACACACACACACACACACATATATATATATATTATAAGAAATGCTAATTGTGTTAGCTTTTTTTTACGAAATTTATTACTTTTTAGCCCTCGTATTTGTTATCTTTGATCCAGAAGCATTTGAATGCTGTCTGTACTAGCCTCAAAAATTTAAAGCGCATATCAAATTTTAATTAGTGTGATGTATCAATATGCTATGCATGAATTTGTGTCTATATGGTTGAGTGTTTTGCGGTTGCACTTGAAGTAATACAGAGTCATGTCGAATCCATATATATATATGGCTTTATTTTTTAAAATATGCTGTCAATGATATTGAAATACTTCAAGTATTTCAATATCATTGACAGCATATTTTATATTGACAGCATATTTTCATAGTATTCAACACTAGCAGCCTCAAAATTTTATATTCCCTCCGTCCCAAACTAGTTGCTACACTTAGGTCGAAAGTTTTGTCCCAAATTAGGTGCTACATTTCAAGAAGGTGGAGTCATAAATAACTTTCGATGCAGTTTAGTAGATGGATATCAATAAAATTATAAGGTGTACTACAAGGAATAAAATGCTGTATACTACGTTTTCATTCTCAGTTTTTACTTTCTACAAATGTAGCACTTATTTTGGGACAATTTTATCAACGGAAATTTAGAGGGTTCGCACGCTCTTAAGCCATGCTCCATTTTGCAAGGACTATACCACCCGTATTTCAGAAAGATCGTGATTAAGTTAAAGCCTCATTCTGTCTGCCTAAGGTGAGGGATGCCTTCGTGGAAGAATTTCTAAGGAAAACTGGCTCGTATAGACAAAACAGATAACTGAATTTACATTTAATTAGCCTGAAGATTTTAAGCGATTACTGATGTCTTTACAAAATGGGGCGTGGCTTAAGGGTGCGCAAAAGCTGGATTTTTGAAACTAATTTAGTCTGATTTAAGGAGGGAATGCTTGGTAAGTGAAGTTGTTGTTGATTGATAACATAGCACCCTGAAATTTCTGGAAAATCTGCAAACAAAATCATAAAATCTTCAGTATCAATAATCAGTCCTCAAATGTAGCAACTAAGTTGGGACAGAGGGAGTATATGATTCATTTTGATTAATGTCATACATGCTGTTATTATATGCTGTAGGTGATATTGAAATACTTGGTATTCATCGCTAACAGGCTTAACATTTTATATAAGATTCATTGTGATTAATGTCTTGTATGTCATTATTATATGCTGTTGGTGATATTGAAACACTTGGTATTATTTTGAATATCTGTAATGTTGCGTTCACTCTTCATAGCCCTAAATCTGCATCATTTAAAATTTTATTTTTTAATATTTCCTAAAAAAGTATTTTATATTAATGAAATTAATTTATATTAATGAAAAAATCTTAAGTACCTAAAACCAAATCTCTTTTAGAAATACTTTTTCTCTTATGTATTCACAAATTTTAGATCATCATTTATTAATTTCTTAATTACAATTTAATAGTGGCTCTAAATTATTTCGTTGCACAGGACAACTGATATTAATACGATGAAAATTTTGCGCTGAAATAGTTTATGTTCTGAAGCTACCTGCTAACTTCGTACTATACAAATAATTTAAAAGTAAAACATGTGCTCTAAATTACCCTTAAATAAGAATAGGTAACTCTAATAAATAGAATTAAAATAGCATATATTTAGATGCAAGCAGGAATTAAAATCAAAATCAAGTAGCTGATGGTTATATATGAAAAAAGAAAAATGGAATAATTTTGAAATTTCATGCTTTCTTTCTAAATAAAAATATCTTTTATTAAAAATAAATGTATAATTTCTGACTACTACAGATTAATTGTTTTTAAATTTTGCATATAACAAGACAATTATTTGTCTTGAGCACCATTCTGCTCATTGCTAACGTCGCAAAGCATAGCGGAATAGTAGTGCCATCTTGCAATCAGTAGAAATTTCATGGAGGCCACCGAAAACACAAAAGAATATTTCCACACTGGCAGGCATTGAGTATAAGATGGTCTTGCCTCAGTCATCTATTTTATTCTGATATTAAGATATATCTTCAGTCAGTCAAGTTAAAAATAGAAACTTTCATCAGTCCTATTAGGTTTAAGTTTTCAATCAACAAGAAGTTGAATGGCATTAAAAAGAAATATGCTTTACACACAAATTATATCTTAAAGAGTATTTAATAAAATGTTTGAATTATCTGAGCAAAAATAGCAAATGTAATGGAATACCTTGTAGAAGGGGACACCAACAGTCACTCCAGAGATTAGGCTTTGATTTTGAACCATTGTTATCGTCCGATCCTTCAGGTGGATTGCATATTGAGGCCGCTCGAGTATGAAGAGTATGCATTAGATCTAAAAGCTATAAGCAAAAGTAATAAGTAAATAATAAAACATAAAAATAACTTACAATTTGAAAGCTTCATTTTACTTAAAAAAAATTGAATAAAAATACATGAATAACTACAAATAATTTAAATTAAACTCATTATAGTTGAATAAAATTCAAACTAAAACATATTCAGTTTTAAAATTTCCATTTGTTTCTACATTTTATTTTTGAACAGAAAATGTTACAGAATGAAAAATATATAATATTAAAAAGCATGCTACTTTTAGAGCAAATTAAAAAAAAGAAATGTATAAATGTATAACTAACAATCTACAAATTGCTGCAAAATGTGGTCAAAATCAAATTAGATTTAAAATTATGGGTAGGGGAAACTTCTCTCAAAACAGCATAGATTATGAATAATAAAAATTTCCATAAATTTCTATGGCGATCTATGCAAGTTCTTCTTTTTCAGTATAGAAGCATTTTTACTAAATAGTTTGCTTCTGATGGCAAAAGTATCTCATTCATTTCCAGGCAAAAAAAAAAAAAAAAAAAAAAAGATGAGACTAAAGACTTTTAGTAAAGTGCCCTAGAATATTTATCACAAGCAAATAACTAGAAATAATAGCCAGAAAACAAATAAATAGGTATTATTCTATTGACAATGGCATTCTCAGGCAATTCTCAAAAATGATTTGATAAACAGTAAACAGACACCTATTTTAGACTCAAAACATGTTTTCAAAATAGCTGATATACAAAAAACTCAGATCAAATACTTTGTGACATTTAATGCTCTCATTTACACTTTTCCTGGATTCAACCACTCTCACCCACAGAAGCCTCAGCAAATAAATTTAAGTTATGCTAAAAAGAATGTATGAAGTTGTTGACAAAGAGATCAGCAAAGGCTTAAATAAAATGTTACAATGCCATCTCTGACCAGGGCCGGATTAAGGGTGTCGTAGGCCCCGAAATAATAAACATTTTTTAACTGAAATTGACCGCTAATATTAAGTAATAATTTTGTTGTAGATATAAATCCGAAAATGTGATGATGCGGTAAAATAACATTATTTTATTTTGGGATTTTAATGTTTTTATTTTTCATAGAGCCATTTTCAATAGCCATAATTCCAGAATTGAGTTTATCTGCAACAATGCAACTTTTATATCTACCAAATTCCATGCAGAATTCCAGGGTTTTAGTACATGAACATGACAAGACATTAGCCGCCGGGAAAACCTCTCGGACGGGCACATGCGTTTGACACAGTTGGCCACGTTTCCATGCCCACTACCAAACGCTTGCGCGCGATCGAGAGGTTTTCCCTGCTGCTAAGGTCTTTTGTTTTAGTAGCTCAGTTGTGTAATAAGTTAATATGTAAACACTACGATAGAGCGTGTATGCCTGTGCTTGTATTTAATCACGCTCAACCCCAAGTCAATCTTTAGTTTAAAAACTGGAAGTTAAATTTATTATAAGTAAGGTAAGTAAAGGAAAGTTGTTTTTATACTCTACTTATTTCAACCTAGTTTTTGATTCTGGAATATTGCTTCATTCCATTATAAATAATAGAATTTTCATTTTATCACTTCTTATTAGTATAATAGTCCGCCGTAGAATGCAGCACAATGCAAGGAACTTTGAGTAGGCCTACTATGGGGTGGTTTGGCCATACTATTGTAAAAAATCTCCAGTAGTAGTCGTAGAAATAGTACAGTCCAAATCACCTTTGGAATAGCTTAATTTTAATCCATACTCGTAAATCCGGGTTTCGTTTTTACAAGTTTAAAATGCATTACTTAACAAATTTAAAATAACTTTTTAGCTTTCTGATAGCATAATAAAAGCGACGGGCGCAAACTAAAATGTATATTTAAAGGTGACGAGAAGAAGGAGAAAACAAGTTTAAATTTTAGTTTGTGCGTGCCCATCGCTTTTATTATGGTATATCAGAAAGTTAAAAAATTATTTTAAACTTTTAAGCGCAATTTATAAAAGCTTTTTTTAAATATTTTTTTTTTAGCGAAAAATGTCTGATGGATATAAAAGAAAACACCAAAGTGGACATGAAAAACGCAAAAGAAAGAGAAAGTGAGTGAGTCGCTTAGTAAAATTAAAGGTTCTTTATTGAAATATGTTAACATTTCTAAGGAGACAGAAGATAATGCAGATGCGGTAGATATTTCCTCGATCGAGGTTAGACCTAAAGAAGCTGAGGCTTGTTGGGACTCGCAAGAATGTTCAACCAATAAAACTGAGAATGTCACAGAAGACGAGGCTGACGGGGGTTTACGAAATTTTAACGACGCTTCCAAGCAGGTGGTGCCTGAATCACTACCAACAACATCAGCCTCAAGTATTTTCAGTTCTGATCCAGCACGGTGGACAACCATAAGCGCAGATCTTATCGATTACTTCTCTCGTAATCACCCTGTGCAGAAATTGGATATAAATTTTAAGTTATACGCCACTAAATTTGGCGAAATAATGAGATGTCCATCACAAGATTATTTTTTCAGAAAACTGAACAACAATGATATTATAAAAAGGGACTGGTTGATATTTTCCGAATCTACTGGCAAGTTTTTTTGTTATAAATGTATTTTGTTCAAATCGGACCTACCTGGAAATCCAAACCTGTGTAACCAATTCCTTACAGGCTTTAATGACTGGAAAAACGCACATTCGAGAATTTCAAGTCATGAAGTGTCAAAAGAACATTTTGCATCTATTTCTGCTTTAGTGAACTACCAACAAACTAGAAAAATTGATGAGACGTTTGATATTGTCAAGGAAAAAGAAAGCACATATTGGACAACGGTTTTAAGAAGAGTAGTGGAAGTAATTAAGTTTTTGGCCGAAAGGGGACTAGCGTTTAGAGGCGATAATGAAATACATGGTGATCCTAGTAATGGCAATTTTCTTGGGTGTATCGATCTCTTAGCCAAATTTGATCCGTTTCTAGAAGAACATGTAAGAAGATACGGTAATCCAGGCCGCGGAAAAGTATCATATTTATCCTCCACAACGTATGAAGAACTAATAATTTTACTGGGGTCAAAAGTATTGGAAAAAATAGTTACAGAAATCAAAGAAGCCAAGTATTATGGAATCACTGTGGATTCTACACCTGACGTTAGCCATACGGATCAACTCTCCATAGTTATTAGATATGTCTCAAAAACTGGAGATATATATGAAAGATTTTTGATGTTTTTGTTAAAATAGAAAAACATGATGCCAAGTATCTTTTTGACACTCTAATTTCAGTTTTAGAAAATCAGGGAATAGACCCAAAATTTTGCAGATGTCAGTCTTATGACAATGCGGCTAATATGAGCGGAGTGTATTCGGGAGTACAAACTAGATTTAGGGAAATCAACAGCGCAGCCACTTGGGTACCATGTGGAGCTCATAGTCTTAATCTAGTTGGCACAGCGGCGGCAGAAAGCTGCTTAGAAGCTGTAAAATTTTTTGAAATTTTGCAATCGCTCTACAATTTCTTTGCAGCGTCCCCTCAAAGATGGTCTAAACTAAGGTCTTTGGGAAGTAAAATTTCTGTAAAAAGACTTTCAGAGACCAGATGGTCAGCACGTTATGAGGCTGTAAAAACATTATGTGCCCATTATGATGATATACGTGGTATTCTTACAAATATTTCAACTAGTGAAGGTATGAAACCTACAACAGTGATTGAGGCACAAACCTTAATCCATCAAATGAATACTTTGGAGATGGTATTACTCACAGTTATTTGGGAAGATCTACTAAAACACGTCGATATTGTAAATAAATCTCTTCAAGAACCTGGCATCGAGTTTAACACGATGGTGCGACTTTACGACAGTTTAATTCAATATTTATCTCACTGCAGAACTGAGGACATGTATAATAGCTATTATCTTAAGGCAAAAGCCCTTGCACCAGATTCAGAATTTAAAGAATCCGAAACTAGAGTTCGTAAGAGAAAACGACAGTTCGATGAAGGGCCAGATGAGACTCCCTCTCGCAGTGCCAAAGATTCCTTTAAGATTAATGTTTTTTTTATTGTTCTGGATGTGCTTTGCGCTGAAATGACAAAGAGACGCACTGCGTATACCAGCCTTTATGACACATTTAGTTTTCTTACGGATAATACACTGACCGAGGACATTATCAAGGTTAAGGCTCAAGCTCTGGTAAAAATGTATCCGTCTGACTTAGAAGAAAACTTTGTTGATGAGTATTTGATTTTTTCAAATTTGTACCCCAAAACCACCTCTATAACGGATCTCATCAAATTACAAATAAAGGATAAACTTGTGTCAAGTTTCCCAAATGTTAATATTGCATTGCGCATATACCTTTCGATATTGGGTTCGAATGCAGAAGGAGAAAGATCATTCTCCAAGTTGAAGCTTATAAAAAATTTTATGCGTTCAACTATGGGTCAAGAGAGAACTTCGTCACTGGGCCTTCTGTGTATTGAAAGTGATGTCGCTCGCGGCATTAATTTTGAAGATATAATACACGAATTCGCTGTGTCAAAATCCCGAAAAAAGGAGTTATTTTAGGATCTACTTAGTAAACCAAACGTTTTGTATTCGTATTTTTTGTGTATTTGTATTTACATATATTATTTTGACCTTCACTATATAATAATATAAAAATGTTTATAAGTTTTTGGGGTATTTTTTATTTCAATATATTTTTTTTCAAAGCCCTAAGACCTTTGGCCTTCGTAGGCCCTAGGCACGTGCCTACTGTGCCTAATTGGTAATTGGCTGTCTGACGATTTTTTAAAATACAAAAAAAAAAAAGAAAAAAAAAAAAAAAAAAGATTTTAAAAAAATATCTATATTTACCCATGAGTGCCATGGCTTAAATCAAAAATTTTGCATAGTATAAAGCACGGCAGACTGGCTATGCATAGAGGCATAGTCATAAGGGCATAAAATACGGGACATCTGTTCACACCTGCGAGACGGGGGTCTAAGCTGTGGCCAATGACAGAAGCTACAATTGCGCATGCGTAGATGTGCCTACACCTTTCGCGCACTGTTTTCTAGCTCAAATGATTTCTCACGCTCGCTCTGCTCGTTTTCGTTATTTTGTGTCATGGCTTTTTCAGCTCACCACAAAGTTTTACTGGTTCAACAGAATGCTTTTTTGATCTGCCCTTCTTATAAGCCAAGAGGCAACGGAAGAAGGTAAAAAAAGAAGAAAAAACGGAATGGTCTAGAGATATTTTGTTGAAGGACCAGTACTTGGTTGGCACATCTATTTCTGTGCAAAGCAGTATGGAATATTTCTGCATTGCACTGTAGTACTCTGTATACTATAAACATGCACATACGCATATTTATATATATAAAACCTTCTTGAATTTTTATGTATAATTTCTCTTAGGAGAAATACGATATTCTAAATATGCCTAATTAAAAAAAAAATCTTGAGGATAACTAACAAGATAGCCTGTATATAATATTTTTCCATTTTGCAAGGTGTGAAAGCAGTTAAGCTAAAAACAGTACTTACCATACATTAATTATAAATATTTTTTAAATTTTCAATCAAAAGGAACGTGTTTCTGTGACAATGAAACATGTGTGCTTAGCACTCCTTATTCACTGTCCATGTCGATCACTATAGTAGTTTGGCTGCACTACCAAGTATCAATTATCACTAGTACTAGTATCCCCACAACTGGTCACCAATGACCAGCAACCACAACTAGTACAATACTAGGAAACGTTCAACCCAAAAATGTATTTTATGCTCAATCATTAAATACATTTTGCTGTCTTGCCAGCTGTTTGTATACATCTATTTTTAATAATTTGCATGTATAAGCCGCACCCCTGAATTTAATTTCAACATATGCTGTCATTTCTATTTACGACCAAATCTCAAAAGTAATTTCACATTGACAAATTTTAGGTACCCAAGTCTTCAAATACATCAAAATTATAAACATTCATACCTTATCCAGGAATTTCTACCAGAAAAATAGCATGAATTTAATGATCAAAACTCCATTCAAATGATAGAAATAAAGAGTGGATAATAATAACAAATACTATTCATTAAATTATAGTCCATGTTATGAATTACGTGTGCTATTAATTTCATTAAAAGTAAATTCCTTTCATGGAGAACGTAATTAAAAAACAGAACATAACTTCAACAGGAGACTAGACAGTTGACTGTTGTTTTAAGGATATTTCACTACATTTTTTCTTTTTGGAATTCATAAGAGCATTTTCTCAAAAGATTAATCTTTTATTACTTATACAAAGCTTACACCATTGAATTGACTATTGTGACCATTCTTAAATAAGTGAAAATAATTTTTTCTTTTCTTTTCTTTTCTTTTTTTTTTTAAGTAATATTTTTACTGTTAAAAAAAACAGCAGATTCTTAATATTGATTTGATGTTTTAGTAAAATTAATTCATGAAGTTTGTTTGGAAAGAAAATCAGCATTTGAAGCAGATAGCAATACAATATTTCCAGCTTTTTTAATAAATTTATTCTTAAATACAAAAATAATTAAACAGGAAAAAATTATAGTAATAATTTTAAAAAAAAATTATAGACAGAAAGAAAGTAATTGGAATTCATAAGAGCATTTTCTCAAAAGATTAATCTTTTATTACTTATACAAAGCTTACACCATTGAATTGACTATTGTGACTATTCTTAAATAAGTGAAAATAATTTTTTCTTTTTTTTTAAAGTAATATTTTTACTGTTAAAAAAAAACAGCAGATTCTTAGTATTGATTTGATGTTTTAGTAAAATTAATTCATGAAGTTTGTTTGGAAAGAAAATCAGCATTTGAAGCAAATAGCAATACAATATTTCCAGCTTTTTTAATAAATTTATTCTTAAATACAAAAATAATTAAACAGGAAAAAAATTATAGTAATAATTTTAAAAAAATATAGACAGAAGGAAAGTAATAATAATAATTCACATAGGAAAAATAAAATTTTTGCAAGCATGCATTTTTTAAAGAATTTTCATAATAAAATGAAAAATATTAGATGGGATCAATTATCTACAGGATCATACACAGCGTGCATAATTCTGAGCTTAACTTTCGCTTTACGAGGTTCATCCATATTTTTCAATATAAATTGAAAAACTCATTGAATGCATTTAAAACTCATTAAAAAATGCATGCCATCATCATAGATTTCTGGCAAGATCAACTCTTTATTTCGTTCGGATACGATTACAACTCATTATTTTGTTCGGATACGATGTGTTCCATATTAAAAAAAATGTCGCCTTCGATGTGACGGCGAAATCGTCTAAAGAAAGCAGCTTTGTTTTAGCTGTGCTCTGATTGGTCGACGCTTATCCCAAACTCAGCATAATGTTGAAAACTTGGAACCCTATGCCACGAGCCCTAAACCAGATTCTGTGACGTAGCAGTGACTGGTTGCCTTGGCAATGGAGCTCGGCTTTAACTGCTTATGCCCTTTACGCCCTCGTCTGAACGGGCCCTTATAGGTCACTGTTATATTAGCTTATAGTTTAACATATTTTCTTTATTACTTTTTTAATAATATAAACAGCATCTTAATGAATGAAGTTTATGAAAAGAGAGACTAAAATAAGTATATATAAAAATTTACTTGATAAAGGATGTTTAAATAGAGGTCTTAATGGTCTCTATTTAAACAAAAACCTGTGCCACTCAGAGTCTTAAGACATGTTCTGATAACGCAGTTTGTCTTATACACAAGACAGATTCTAATAAGGCTACATTACTTCTTTAATAACAAAGAAACTCTTTCCCACAATGACAATCAATACACCATTTTAAACACCTGAATCATATCAATAGAAGAAAAATAAAAATTCATTAAACGGAAAAGTAAAGAATCTAATAATGGTAAAAGATATGTCAAATTGTATTATATAAGTAATGATTAAAATCATTAAACTGTTTAAGGACTTTGATGAACTGCTAATAATAAAAATAATGAAGAAAAACAATTTTTATTATTGGGTCATCCAAAACGTCCAGAGTTTTTTAAATTGAAATACACTTTCTTTCAATTATTTTGTTACTGCTGATAAGGAATGAGCTTGACTGAAGCAGATATTTATATGAGGTCTCTTCTTTTCGCATTGCATAATTCTAGCATGTGCTATGGCACAATTTTTATTTCATAGCAGTGCTAAGAAATGAGAACCAAAAAGTTCATTTTAATCATATTATTTCTTTATTTTAAAAAAGAAAAATATTAGTCAGATTACTTTTAAAATTTGTGCTGAGTACCTAATGACACGGATATATTAAAAGAAGCACCACTAAAAATCCACATCATACAGTTCAGAAACTATCAGACAGAGTAAATATTTCAAAAAGTACACTACATGATTATTTGAAGAAGATTTATTGCATAAGCTGCTATGATACAAAAACATACCAATTCTTAACAGAGCGAAATGTGGTTTTTGCTGAAATGGCTTATTACTGGAGATGAGAAGTGGGTACTATACAATAATGTTACAAGGACCAGAATCAGGGGAACCTCCTCAGTAACTTTGAAAGAAGGGTTGTATCCTCCCCAAAAGAAAATGCTTATTGTGCTGTAGAACTGCAAAGGAATTGTATACTATGAATTATTGCCTCTAAATTAAACAATAAATTTGGAAAAATAATGTTTCCATATGGCAGCTTTCAAAGCAGAAAATGAAGCAAAGAGCCCAGATCTGACCAATCACTGAGGTGTTTTCTTCTACCAGAACTCAGATTTTCATGTCTTCAGGTGACATCAAAATTTTCTGAATGGCTGGAGTCACTTCTATAGAGAATGTCAAAGAACGTCTTGATAACTTCATTACAAATTAATCTAACGACTTTTTTAAAAAAAAAAGATCCAATACAAATTAATAAAAAAGTTAGCCACCTCTCCCCGAAAAAAAAAAAAAAAATGCTTTTAAAAATTTACTTCATAATTAATAAAATTTACTTCATTTCAATTTGTATCTTAATTTTATATCATTATGCAATCAGCTGAAACTTATTTGCATGATATAAAGATATTAAATTTCAGCTTTTTTATTACATTTGTATTTGCAACCATATATACAGTCAAATTGTTCTTTTTAAGAAATTATATAAACTTCTGTGGTCAGTGAATACCATCTTTCCACCAAAGAAGGAAGTTAAAACTTTATCAGTGTAAATCGCAAGTCAAAATTTTTAAAGGATGCCTAGCACTGAAGCATATACTTCCCATTTTGCCATATTAAAAATGATGGGCCATCTTAATAGATATGCAATAAAAGAATTTTGCCTTTTCTATATTTTATCTAATTAAAGTATTTCGCCTTTTCTATATTTTATCTAATAAAAGTATTCTACCTGTAGTGATACTTGTTGATAAGCTGATGCAAATTCATCAGCTTTTTCTTCATCATCTGCCTCATAACCTTCTCCTTGCCTATTAGACTGATAATGAGACACCCTTATCCTTTCTTCTTTCCGCTTAGGAATACTTTTAACCATCTTTTTCTCTTTATGAACTTTTAGCTTAGATTTCCTGTCATGAGAATAACCTATAAAAATGTAAAATTAAAAAATTTTAGAAAACAAAACAGAACATTTCAAATTTGGGCAAATATTTGTAATATTTATTTTGTTTGTTGAAAACTAGTGTTAGTATTTGAATACATTTGTGTACATAAATTTCAAGATATAGCAGCCTAGAATTAAAATGATTTCATTTTAATTTTAAATATTTTTAACATATATACTAAATCAGGGGTTCTCAACCGGTGGTATGCATACCACTGGTTGTACGCAAGAGAAAAATAGGCGGTATGCAAAGAAGCACAGTATTTTTAACCATTAAATTCCAAAAATTAAAACCCCAACATCCTGATTTAGTTTCTTTTCTAACACTCGTAAGTTTATGCGATCTAAGCTTTGTTCAAGAGTGGTGGTGGTAGCAGTACTTTGTAGTGGTGGTACTAAAGGTTTTCAATTTTTGTTTAGATGGTACATGTTAGTCAAAAGGTTGAGAACTGCTGTACTAAATGATAATTTGTAAGTACAATTTTTTTATTTCAGAACAGGAAGAGGAAAAACAAGTCCTACTTTGAATTGTACAAAAACAGAAAATATACGGGCTTATATTTAATAGAGATTAATTCTTCTCTCAGACAACGTTATTTTAATACTTTCTGATTATGCACACCTCCCCTGGAAAGTTGGCACTGATTTGGTGACTAATTTTTTTGTCAAGCTAACATGTAAAAGGCAAACAATTTTGAAAATGGAGCTGTATTAAGAAATCCATAAAACAACAATGAATCAATAAAATTTTTTTAAATGGAAAAAATGCCTTTTTCAAGAAATCCGTATGTAACTTTTATTGCGCTATTGTTCCACTTATGTAAACAGCAGCCCGTTTGTGCTTTAAAAACATCAGAGAACAGCATCAATTTGGCATTGCACATAAATTTCAATCATCAAGAAGTGTAACTTCTCAGAATGCAAATTTTAGAATTCTCTACTATTAGGCAAAGTGCCTTATTTCTAAAGAAATGAAAGTTTTTCATCAGCTGGCAAACTCCACAGTCCCATTACAGTTCCTTATGGAAAAGGGGAGAAAAGTACTCAGTGCAAAAACAAACACTAATCAGAAAAATGGCCATCAAATTCGAAAAGGAAAAAAAAAAAAAAAAAAAAAAAAATCCATGCTCATCTGCTGAACCAGCTGTGTGAGCATGAATACCTGGGTTGCCACATAGATAAATTTCGGCAACATAGCACATTGCTTCATGAATGCTTTTCATTTGGGGGATGAGGATAGTCAGCAATAATCCTTATTTTTTACAGTGTTACTATAAGAAGAAAATTATTTTTGACACAGTTTATTTTTTTAAAGATCCAAAATAAAAAGTTTTGTATATAAATTTTACTGCAGAACAAGCTGAGTGTATTAACCGAGATTCAGGCACCCCCCTCCTCCAAAACAAAAAATTCGACCCATGAAATATAAATAAAAAATGCAACACAAAGGTAAATGTAGAAACAGGATGCTATTAGCTGTGACTTAACTTCTTAAGGCAAAAACACAAGATTTAGTAAATACAGTACAATTACAGTCAAAAGTAGTTAATTCGGACACCCATAATCCGGACCTCAAAGCTAAAAACTTTCAGCGCATGCGCGCCTTGACACATGCGCATAGGCGTTTACGCGAGCGCGTAAGACCTTTACGACTGCGCATATGTGTGCGCGCAAGCGCATACGTTTTCACGTGTGTGTTTTATGTATAACGGATGGTATATATTAAAATTATCTATTTCAGTTAATGTTGATGATTGCGTTGTTCCTTAATCTTCGAATTATTTCCGGCTTATTATTTTTTGCAGACTGTAAGAGCAATTTTATAAAAGTAAACTTGAACTTTCGATTATGTCAAATAGAATTTCCTATACTGGAGCTCCCAAAGGATCTACAAAACGAAAGTATGTTCCGATGTCATTCAAACAAAAAGTGGAATTGCTGCAAAAAATGGATAAAGACATGAAGAAGGTGACAGAGAGGTTAGTGAAAACGAAAAAATTTCGATTGACAAGTTAGTCGGTATTCTCGGCACAGCAATTACGGGACTTGAACAGCGGAACTTTGTAACTGAACAAGATATTATGTCTGTTTATAGAATTAAAGAGGAAGTATTATCTCATAAAACGAAGCAACTTAAACAACTTACATTGAAAGAAATGTTTAATAAAGTAAATAAATAAATATTAAGCTTCTTTTTTTCTAAATTTTGATAGCCTTTAGATCATAATTGTTCTTTATTTCATAATTACGGTTTCATATTTTTAATTTTAGAATTTCTGCATGCCATCTTACGAGATTTAAACTGATGATCTATAATCCGGAAAAATCGATAATCCGGAATTGTTGAAGTCCTGTAAAAATATGAAACCGTAATTTATGAAATAAAGAACAATTATGATGTAAAGGGTATCAAAATTTACAGAAAAAAGCTTAATATTTATTTGTTTACTTTATTAAACATTTCTTTCAATGTAAGTTGTTTAAGTTGCTTCGTTTTATGTGATAATACTTTCTCTTTAATTCTATAAACAGATATAATTTTTTGTTCACTTACAAAGTTCCGCTGTTCAAGTCCCGTTAATTGCTGTGCCGAGAATACCGACTAACTTGTCAATCGAAATTTTTTCGTTTTCACTAACCTCTCTGTCACATTCTTCATGTCTTTATCCATTTTTTGCAGCAATTCCACTTTTTCGTTTGATGGACATCGAAACATACTTTCGTTTTGTACGATCCTTTGGGAGCTCCAGAATCAAAATTCTATTTGACATAAACGAAAGTTCAAGTTTACTTTTATAGTATTGCTCTTACAGTCTGCAAAAAATAATAAGCCGGATCCAATTCGAAAATTAAGGAACAACGCAATCATCAACATTAACTGAAATAGATAATTAGATAATTTTAGCTTACACCGTCCGTTATACATAAAACGCGCACGCGAAAACGTATTCTGCGCTTGCGCACACGCAAATGCGCAGTCGTAAGAGGTCTTACGCGCACGCGTAAACGCCTGTGAGCAATTGTCAACGCGGCGCATGCGCAGAAAGTTTTTAGCTTTGAGGTCCGGATTATAGATCATTCCGAATTATGGGTGTCCGAATTAACGACTTTTGACTGTATTATAGAAATGCAACTTTTATAATTTTACACATTTTGCTCAATTAAATTATTTTTCAGAAAACAGATTTTGGAATTTCAGATCACCAGATTAAATTTTGTAAGACAATATGTAGAAATTATAAAATTAAAAATTTGGAAATTTGTTAATGACATAAAAAGCATTTTTTACCCTTAAGTAAATAAAAATTTACATTTGTTTGTTTGCTCTATTAAAGATTTCCTGCAGTTAAGTTGTTTAAGTTTATCCAGTTTTCATGCTAATACTTTTTTGTGCTAATTTTTTTCTTTAACTTTATAGATAGAAATAATTTCTTATTCAGATACAAAGTTCCATCCTTCAACTTCCATAATTGCTGTGTTGAGAATTCTCATTAAATTGTCAACTGAAATTTTTTCATTCTCAGCAACTTCACTGTCACTTTCTTCATTATCGGTAGCAATATTTTCTGGATTAAAAAAAATTCTACATATTTCGTCATCAGTTAGTTGATTGAATGTTGAAGCATTGGCATCGCAATGGAAAACTTCTGTTATATCATCTTCATTTATGACCATCGACAATTTTTTGCAAATTCAATTAACTGAAAAATTTTTCTTTCTTTTTTTTTTTCAATATCTGAACCTTAAAATTCACAGCTATAATCATATAGCTAATGTCCGCTGTACACTACTGGCAAGTATCATGGGCCTGGTAATTAGAGACGTGTTGTTCTGCTAATTCTTTATTTCTAATTTTTAATTTTTTATAATTTTTTTCCCTTTTATCGCATGCTCAGGCAGTTACGCCTGAATTAAATTAATTTAGACATTTATTATACTTATGGCTTATCCAAGTCCTGAAACTAATTCCTATTGATAAGGCTTACCCAAACAACAAATCTGCTACTCTTAATTCAAAAAGCATTAAATTAAATCTTTTTGCTTACGAATATCATTTACAACATTTATTTTGCCTATAAAAAGAAATTTCTATTAAATTTCTCATCAGCACACTCAACACTTTGCAGTTGGCTAAATCTGTTATTCTCACCAAGTGTAATGTCAATATAAAAGGTTTATCATGCTGTTTGGTTATTCAGTTACTAAATTTTTTAAAATTGTTTCAGAAAAAAAAAAAAAAAAAAAAAAAAAAAAGATTGATTTGAAGTAATTGAAAAATCATCACTGCATGACTCATTTCACAAACTGCCATGAGTTGATAGTCATGTGATGATGAAAGCAACAAATAATAAAAAAATTATTTGAAAGATTGGCGGCACAGATATAAGTTATTCAGTAGACATAAAATCAGTGATGAATTTTGGTAGAGTGTTTAGGTTTCAGATGATTGTTATGTAAAAAGGCAGTCACAAAGCTAAATTATTGATTATACAGATTTATGCTAATAAGTGATTGTGTTTCCTTTAGTGCCAGAGTGAAATTAAGAATCCTTCCACATGCATTATTATGAAAAAACATCTACTATAGATGTGTGAAGCATTAAGTATATGCTAAAGTGAGGCATTTCAGAACCTTATTCTTTCTCCCTTTTTGCAAAAAAAAAAAAAAAAAAAAAAAAAAAATTACTAGTGGTACAGAGATTAGAATATTCTGAATAGTGGAATCCAGATTTTGGATTCTTTGTACTGTGTAACCGCAAGTGGTGTTTTCTTCTATGCAATTTTAATTTATTTTAGGGTTTAAGTGCACAGTATCGGTGTAATTACTTCGCTACTACCTAAAAAAATTGACAAATATTCTATATAGTTTGCCAGAGGCTAACTTATGGATGAATAATAAAGCATTCCTTTATTTTTCTACTCACATGCCACATTTGTGATTCATTAACTATTTTCCTCCTGTTTTCTTTAAGTGTAAAGACATGGTCTATATGTAAAAAGTTAATTTATTAGTAATGCATGTAAAGATCAATAAAACAATGATTAATAAATAGGCCACATGGGATACCACATTTCTTCCAATAAATTATATATACAAAAGATTAATTTCATATAACAACTGAACAGTGTATAATAAAACTCAATAAAAAAAGATTTAAAAAAAATACCTCCATGTGTACTAGCTTCGACAAAAGTTCGAATACAATGCACACAGCTCTCAAAGTTTTCAGTTGTTATGTGAGCAGCATCCCTTACTAGAAAGGCAAGTGATTCACAGCATTTCAAAAAGGCAATAGGATCATGCTGTAGCAATTCTCTGTGGAGTACAATGTTGTATTGGTTCACAGGTAAAGGCTGGACATTTTCAATTTCACCATTTTGATTCACCTAAAAATGAGAAAATTGTTTTACTTTTTAAGAGAAAACAAAACAAACTCTTTTAATTATTTTTATAAAGTTTTCAAGATTCTGCAATTTTTTAAATTTCATGAAAAAAGAAATCTTTTCCTGTACTTCTTGAGAGGTTTAGAGATATTATCATATTTATGATCATATTTATATTACACATGGGGAAAACAGGAAAAAGTCCATGCAATCAGCTTGGCTGCTAAATTAGATGTATTAATATTCAGCTACCGTATCCACTTGGCTATTGGTATGTTTGATACTTTAAAGTAGGAAGGTTCTATCAATGAAGAGATAAAAACATTGAGCTTGCAGAATTTTTTTCTCTTTAAAAGTTTCAGTGTGGAAAGCTATGATGTTCATCCAACATATGCTGAATATTCAGCAACATCGAGATATTAGGATTATCCAGCCAAACATCCATCAAGTTGATATATGTAAAAAAAAAATTATTAATTTTTTTTTCAATTTCATGGCCTTTACTGAATTCTTATGACTTTTAAATAATTGTAAAACATTTGTAAATGAAAGTAATAAAAGAATTTAAAAAAATAATACGGCTGAATCAAAAGCTGTTCAACATTTCATTTAAGTCCATAAACTGACATGAGGTCTTCTGAGCAACTATGTGAAGAAAATGATATTTCCTAATTAAGCTACAATTCCATTTACGCTGCCTACCATGACAATTGCATTATCATATACAAAAGCAACACAGTTTTCCCTAGATTTCCAAATCAAGACATTAAGAATGCCTTCTCCTGAATTGCTGATATATTCCAAAAATTAAGAACATATTTGGCCTTGCTTACTGTCACAAAATAAAACAAAAGTTTTACAGAACTCGCATTGCAAACTGAACTAGCTTTAATAGCTTCTGCAAGTGCTGCAGTTAGTAATACTTTCACAATGTCTTTTCTCATAGATACTGACATGCACTTAAGCAAAGTCCATGTTTCAGTCCTTCTGCATGTAATTCATTTCGGCATTACAGCATTCGGAATCATTGATTGAAACAAAGAATTTGTATGGTCAGCACATACAAGTGGAATTTTATGTTCTACTAAGAAATGACGAGAATAAAAACTTTGCACTTATAACAGAACTGCCATACCTTTTTACAAGGGGGACCCTCTACAGCAGATTTTATTTTCATTCAATCCTGGTGCTTGTTAGATTCCATGTGTCACTCACAATCATTATGACTGCCATATGCATATGAAAAATCACAATTGCACACAGAATACAACACAATTTCTGAAAATTCTGAAACAAGAAAACATAGCTCTTTCTTCCATATGTCAGTTTCTGAAAAACTTTCTACCTCATTGAAAGTGACATGGTAAGTACACTTTACCATGTCGGTAGCAAAATTAAAAGAATTTGCAAATTATGTCTATTTTTACAAAAAGTATTAACCCGAAGGTACTCATTATTCCGCTAAAGAATTAAGCAAATAGTCAGAGTTGAATACATAAAAATACACATGCATGTTATGTCCGCAGAACTGTGATTGTGGAGCGGATATAATCCTACAAGGTGTTTTCAGCAATTTGTGTGCTAGTACTCCTTCACAACATTTATTGCATTTCTTGCAAGAGTTGGGTAATTTTATAAGATATCAGATAAAATGAGTAGCCACGAACATATGGATATTGAAATGAAATGGAAAATTGTCAGTAGATTGGAGGCAGGTCAATTATTGTGTAGGTGGCTAAAGAGCTCAATGTAATGCCCAGTGTCATCTGCAGTTTATAGAAACAGTTTAAAGACACTGGATTCATATTAAGAAGACCTGGACAAGGTTAATCAATGATGAATGGAGATCTTATATGTCACTTTCAGCATGGTTACACAAGACTGCTACTGCTTCACAGTTCTCACTTGAGCTATATGCTACCACTGGAACCCAAGTTCAAGGATCTACACTTGCTCGAAAGCTTCATGAAATAGGGCTTCTTGTTCATTGCAGCACACAAGAAAGTGCATGTAACATCGTGTGAACAACATGCGCTTTAAACCAGACTTTAGTGCAGCACCACACTTTTTACAGATGAATTGCGATTCGGCCTGGACACTGAGTGTTGGCAAACGTGTATCTGGAGACAGCCTGGCACAGGATACCTCATCAGAGAAAAGGATCATTACGGTGGTGGAAGTGTAATAGTTTGAGACTCCTGAATTACTTCCTGTCCAGTATGGCATCATGCTGCACAAGCGGTCTGGCTGTCATACCAACCTACTACACACATTTTCTGTTTACTATCACAATGTGGTTTTTGGTCAACCTTGCAGTATGAGCTCTACTCATGATAATGCATACATAAAATGACTTTTGAAAGATGCATCTCTTTTCCTGTCATAAATGTCATCTATACCAAATTTAATAAAAAATCTGTCCATTAATTTTTCATAAATTCAAAATAATATTCAAATTCTCTTAATTTTACACGTGAGTGTATATCTATCCCAATAGTTTTTAATATAAATGCACACATGCATCATATTCACATGCTTTCAATTTCAACAAACAATGTACTAAAGCCTGTCATAAGTTACATGAAATGTGCATATGATGTCAATGGAACAGTTTGATTTGACATCATTGTGCTGACATCACAGTTGCGAAACCAGCACAGTTGTTGAAGTTGACATCACAATTTATAAACATAGACTTTTGCCTACTGGCACATAGCACTTCATGTGATTCAAATTTGCCATTTTCTGCAACAATTTTTTATCAAATCTGCGATTCACACAGGGTAGAAACATAAGGAACCAAACAAAGGGTAGAAATCAGTAATAGTTATGGTAATTCCATAATAGTTCACATTTCTATATTCATTAGCATTTAAAAATACAGATAAGCTTCTGAACGCATTTTAAAACCATTGCCCACGAGTTTGAGGAATATTTTAAACAAATTTTATACTATTAAAATACAAGTTTCTGAAATAAAAACATCTAAACAATAGAGTTACATTATTTATCACAATCTAAAAGCTGCTATTGAGGTCTATTAGATACAATTTGTTATATTATTAAAACCAATGTGATTTTCTTTAACAAACTAATGTAAATAACATTTACACACAATTAAGACTAAAATAATTTCTTTTAAATCTCTTTTTCTAGAACATTCCAGTATTTTCTTTCTCCATTCTGCGAGCCTTCACAGTATAATGATGGCACACTCGGTGTATATTCGAGAGGTCCAGGCTTGAGTCCTGGCGAGAGCCTCCAGCATAAAAAAAAACCTAATGACTCTACAAATTTTAGCATTGTCTATTTACTTCTATTGTTAATTACAAACATTCAATAACATCTAATGCGTGTTGTAAAAGTACTCTTCCTTAATATCAACATTATTTCGCATAGAATTTGACTAAATTAAATTTCATATCTAGCTTTTTGGTAGCTGATTATTTGTTAATCAGGATATTTAACATCCAGTGCATCCTTAATTTTAATTAAATCTTATTTTAACAATTCATAAATAATACATTTAAAACTTCTGAACAGTTTATTTTTAACAGAACTTGTAATTTAGTTGCATTTTTAATTACATATATTTTATAGTAATCATAGTATAGTCATACATTAATTGGTATGGACAATCAGTAATTAAGAATACTTAAAAAATAAGGAAACACGGAAATTATGTTCAATGTATCCTCTATATGTGCATAAAAAAGAGAGAGAGAGAGAGAAACTTTAAAAAAAATGCTGAACATAAAAAAAGAAGGTAAGTCAGTGGGATTGGTAAAATTACAATCCCACTCACCAGAGTCCAGCCACCTTGAGTACCCACATTATCATTCAGCAGCAAATTTAACTGGTGATTGTGAGAACGAGGACTCTCAGGCTGATTTTCATACACTCCGGTGTCAGATGTATAACCTCGTTCAAGCCCCAAACCAGAATCCACAGAATGTCGTCCAATGCTCAACTCACTATCAGACTGGGCACCTACAACAATCAGAGAGAGATAAAACAGTTTTGTTAATGGATAATCCATGTAAAGGTTACACATAAAGAATACCTGTTAATCATGAAAGTACAAATCCGACTTTTTTTAGGAATAGAATCTATAAAAAGCATAAGGTGATTTTTACACAGGAAAATCTAAATTTCTATGAAACATCCTTAGAAAAGAAAAAAAAAAAAAAAAAAAAACTTGTCCCCCAAGAGAAAATGGTAAGAGTTTTTTTTTGGGGGGGGGGCTTTTATTTATTGTAACATTATTATATTTGTCAAAAAATAATTAAAAAGTTTAAAAACTACTGATTGTTTTGAAACTAGTCTTAAAATGACTAATGTCTAATTTCTAAGTAGACAATACAAGAATCCACAGTCCCCAAAAAGAGAACAGGTTTTTATTATTATGCAGTGTATTAATTTAGACAGGATTTCAAAATGTCAACCAAATGTATGCATTCAAAATACAAATTTGAGAAAAAATGCAAAACTTGCATAATTTCTGACGCTCTTAAAAAAAAAAAAAAAAAAAAAAAAAAAAAAAAAAAACAGAAAATAGATTTTGTGCTTAAAATCTTAAATCTAGAATAGCATTGTAAAAATAATGAAAAATCTGTAACAACTGCCAAGCATGCGTACAGGAATTTACTTACCGGATGGCACCACTTTACTAGGCACTTCAGTGGGGCTGACGCTAACGCTATTGAATTCTCGAGGTGGTTTTGCCCCAGCACCCACTCGCTCCAGTAGAGAAAATATCAATGCCCAGTCACTTTGGCTGTGAATATTAGCAGCATTAGTCCTGAGCAATTCATGCAAAGCATACGCAATTTGCTTAGACACCTGCAACATTGCTGTTGGTTTCAGGTACAGTAAAACTCTTAGAGACTGAAGGACCTGCAAAAAAAATTTTAATTAGTGATCTGTTTGCAGCAGATAAAGAAACAATTATGAATTCTAAAATTAACTAACTGTAAAGAAATGTAGAATTTGAAACAGAAGATTAATGTTTAATGACTCAAACAATGTTAAAAGCATAGAATATTAATTATCTGGGTTAACTGAGGCCACAGCCCAGATATTTGAAAAATCCACGGTAACTGCATTGTCTTTTTCCTGGAAACCAACACATTAATTGTGATATTATTATATTGTATTATAACTTATTACTATAGGCCCACATATTTAATTTAATGCAAGTGTTTTCCTCTTTTTTGTTTGTAGTGTTTAATCTCAATAATAACAATACAGTTAAAACACACATAGAAACTTTTTAAATTAACACTTTGCACAGCTCTAACCCTCTTAGCATTACGGCCAGAAAATTTCGTATAGAAGGCTGGCTTTTTTATTCATTACACATAAAAATTTCTGCTAGCTTTTAATGTATCCGATTTTGGTTTGGATGTATATTGAAAGAAAAGGAATCAAAGTACAAAGTGAGAGAGTAGTCTTTTAATTAAAATCAAGAAAATACCACTTATTCATGACATTTTGAGGAACTTTGAAATTTCAGGGCTAAACCCATAATGCTCGGAGGGTTAAAACTAATTTTTTAAATTTTAAAATTAAATATTTTTTTTTTAAAATGAGCTATTGTAATTATCTTAGTCATGTGTGACTAAAAATAAAATTGTGGACCTGCACATAAGGGTAGGTTTTAAATCAAAGTCATTAAAGAAAATTTAAACTAATCAATGAAATCATCATTATATTTAGTATTTCTATATAATCGTTACAATTATTCTTTGAATATCTACTACTTAATACTAGTCTTATATGCATTTAACAATTTTACATTTAGTTGCATAACACAACATCATGATAACTAAAAAAAAGTATTTTTTAACTTTTTAGGCAGCAAAATGGGAAAAAATATAGAAAGAAAAATCATTCCTTTTAATCAACATAGCAATAAATAAGTGATGTCCTCTTTCTTCATGGTCTTCTAATTTAATTAATAGCATAATATTGCATCCAATTAAAAAATATAATAAATTTGTATCTAATTCATTTAAATTTCTATTTGAGTTAGGAATTTGATCTCATCATCACTTAAAATCATGGGGGCTTAGCAAGAAAGGAATTAATAATCTTTTGGTTTAAAAATACAGCATAAGCAACTGAACAGTGGTTAAAAAATACAGTATAAAGTCTTTAATCCGGACCTCAAAGCTATAAACGTTCTGTGCATGCGCATAATACATTTATGCATGTACGTTTAATGTATAACGGACGGTATAAGCTAGGCTAAAATTACCTAATTATCTAGTTTAGTAAATGTTGCAGATTGTGTTGTTCCTTAATCTTCTAATTGGATCTGGCTTATTATTTTTTGCAGACTGTTAGAGCAATTTTATAAAAAGTAAGCTTGAACTTTCGATTATGTCAAAAAGAGTTTCTAATTCTGGAGCTGCCAAAGGATCTACAAAGCGAAAGCATGTTTCGATGTCCATCAAACAAAAAGTGGAATTGCTGCAAAAAATGGATAAAGGCATGAAGAAAGTGACAGAGAGGTGATTTGTTTCTCTAACCATTCCGAAATCTGTTTATCAATTTGACGCTGCTCTGCGGGTGGGACATCACAGCGTGCAATGAACTGGAAGTTGATCTCTCAGCACTATCCTCATCTTCAGGGTGGATGTTTATATTTTATTTGGCTTATAATTCCTTATTAAATGTAGTATTTCATCTCGATGTACTCCATCTTTGATAAGATTTAAATCAAATTCCTCGTCATTATAAATATCACGAATACACATCAAATAGTTTTCTGGTTGCAATTTTCTAATTTTGACTATGCGTAATGTATGCTTTACGCATGTGTGCATTGAAAGAAATGTTTAATAACATAAACAAATAAATATTAAGCTTTTTTTTTTTTGTAAATTTTGGTACCCTTTAAATCATAATTGCTCTTTATTTCATAAATTACGGTTTCATATTTTTAATTGTATAATTTCTGCATGCCATCTTACCAGATTTAAATTGATGATCTATAATCCGGAATCGCCGAAGTCCCAACGAATCCGAATTAAAGACTTTGTACCGTAGAATGATTTTTGAAAAATCACCTAAATTCACTAAGCATTAAACTAGCATAAAAAATACCAAATAAACTTCAATTAGAAGACTATTTTTTTATTATCCTTTAGTACAAAGATCAAAATTCTGTGATGATTAGTCTGGTTGTTCAGCAAGAATATGTGAGAAAAATTCAGAGTCAAATAATAATAATAGTAAAATTATAAAATTTTGAAAAGATTGCTGTGGAATCATCGTCATAAACATATATGCACGATATATATCATGAAAATCAGTGAATATTAAGTTTTATCCAATCAAACAAAGGAATGAAGTTAAATAAATCTAAACAAAACACTATATTTTATACTCAAGGGAATTGAGAAAAAGCCACCTCATTCTCAAGAATAAAAAACTAAATACACAAAATATGTAATTTACAACATAAAGATAATGCTGCTTAAAACAAATTTTTTTTTTCATAATTTTGCCACTAATACAACATTCTACACTTACTTAATCTATATTTAGATAAACAACATTTTTATGACTGACTAATGGTTTGCAAAATAAACTGAGAAAAAATACCTGAAAACTTCAGACTACAGTCTACACCAGGGATGTCAAACTCATAGGTACACTTGGGCCAAACAAACAAGGTTTAACTTTAGGCAAGCCGAAAAAAAAAAAAAAAAAAAAAAAAAAAAAAAAAAAAAAAAAAAAAAAAAAAAAAAAGAATCCATATTCATAGAAACGTAGATTTATTTCGAATAATACAATAATAAAAAACATATATATATATATTTATATAGAAAAGAACAAGAAAAAATTAATGTTTACGTCCTGATACTTGACATCTCTTCTCTGCTATTATCTTTCCTATTTCGGGAGAAATTTTGTTTGCAGTGATAACTTTCAACGCTGACCCAAGGTGAGCATCATTAATACGGTTTCTAATAGGAGACTTATTACCTTTCATGACTGAAAATAACTGCTCGCACCGATAAGTGCTACCAAACATGGAAATAATTTCATATGCGAATTTTCGAGTATTTTCAAACCTGGCTGGTAAATATTTGTAAAATTCAGGCACGCCCACTTCAATGAATTTTGCTTTCAAATTTGAGTTGCATTGAATCTCGATCACCTCCATTTGCATATGGCTGGGTACTGAGTCAATACTTATTGAGAAAATCGAAGAAGAAAAACAAAAAAATTTGTCTTCGAGGGAACTAAAATCATTAAACCTCGTTTCAAATTCAGTTGTTAAATTTGCAATTTTTTCTGCGTATTTTTGATACGAACAAGTATCATCTAAACTTGATTTGTTCATGCTGCACGTCGGGAAGTGCGTCAAATCTTCATTTTTAAGTTGTTTTTCCCAAAGAACTAGTTGACATTTGAATGCTTTAATTATGTCAAACATGTTCGTAATGATATGATCTTTTCCTTGTAACGATAAATTTAAATCGGTTAAGTGTTTGGTTATATCAACCAAGAAAGATAAATCTTGTATCCATATTGGATCGTAAAACAAACTTACGTCTTGATTTTTCGTTTTTAAAAACTGACATATTTCTTCTTTCAAATCCCAGAATTGTTTGAGAATCTTGGAGCAAGATAACCAACGTACCTCGGTATAGTAGGACAAACCCGAATATTCACTATCTAACTCACTTAAGAAAGCAGTGAATTGACGCTGATTTAAACCTCGAGATCTTATAAAATTTATAACTTTTTTTATATATGACAAAACATTCTCCATATTTATTACTTTCGTGCATAGAACTTCTTGATGTATAATACAATGCATATGATGAATGTTTGAACCGTGAATTTCACTAAGTTTTTTTCTTAGTAATGCTACGAAGCCCTTGTTTTTCCCGGTCATTGATGGAGCGCCATCTGTAGCTACAGAATTTAATTTTGCCAAAGGTAGATTGTATTTCTGCAGAAGTCCAAAAACACAAGTAAATATATCTTCTCCTGTGGTAGTACCAGGCATCGGTATTAGTTCCAGTAATTCCTCAAAAATGTTAAAATTCTTGTCACAAGAACGAAGAAACACTGCTAATTGAGCTTTGCCACTAATGTCCGTGCTCTCGTCACAGGCAATGGAGAAACTTTCGAAACTAGATGATTTTGCTTTGATCTGATCACTTAAATTCGCGGCTAAATCAGTAACTCTTTCCGCAACTGTATTTCGAGACAATGAAATTGATTGAAAAGCCTTCACATTTCCAGGACAAACAATTTCTCCAGCTTTCATTAGGCATTCCTTGATGAAATCACCGTCAGTAAAAGGCTTCGAATGTTTAGCTATCAACTCGGACAAGACGTAGCTTGCATGTACCGCCGCTTCACTTTCTTGCAATACTTTACTAAACATGGACTGTTGCTTTTTCACTCCTAACTTGAGCTCTTTCAACTTTTCTTCTCTCATTAATCCTTCGTAATTGTTATATTTCGATTTGTGTTGTTCGTAATGACGTTTAATATTATATAACTTTGGTACATTAATAGTATTATTACATATCAAGCAGATTATTTTATCTTTTATTTCACAGCAAAAATATTCTAATTCCCATTTTACTTGGAATATTCTATGTTCGTCAGCGATTTTTCGTTTAATTTTACTACCACTTGGTTTTGATATAGACATACTGAATACAAAGGGCTGGAATAAACACGGTTAACGTTAAAAAGTTAACAAAAATTTATTCTTTCCACAAGAGATAAATCAAAATGCTGAAATATTTCTTCAAAAATATTCTAACAATATCACAAAATGTCAAACGTTTAGCAAAAATCAATTCAAAACAGAGAAACTAATTCTATCTCACAGCGAAATCGCTACAAATCAATCACAGCAT